TAAAAACAATAGGCCTGATACTCCTTTCTGGTTCACGAATTGTGCGCTATTAAAGTGGCAGGTGTGTACTTAGTGGAGCACAACCTATACTGTCACAACTCTGTTGTATTCCCTAATTTTGTATAACTTTTAATACTTAAGGAAACAACTTGTACTCTCAACAATTGCTTATCTTTAATAAAATGTTAGTAACTAAAAGAGAAACAAATCACAAAGTCTGTGAAACAGAAGATCAAAGATCAGAAGAGCTGCTGCCTAGAACTGCCTTCCATTTCAGTTTCTCAGTTACCCTCAAGCACAATTAAAAGCTTTAATTAGGGACACAAATCAGACACAGATAAAGAACAAGTACAAGAAACAGTACAAGGTAAAAGGAACCATAAACATCACTTTGGATTACCAGAGATGTAGCTATTTTGTTTAAAGAAGAAATGTGACTTACTGCAAAACATAAAGAAAACAACATTTATACTTTTACACCTGTGCCTTTCATTATGAATGAAATAATTAGATGTTAAGCCACCTGTATGGATTTTTCCCAACTCAAATGACATCAGGGCTCAATTATAGAGAGACCTGAATCCAACAAATTAGAAGAGAGTAAAAACAGCTTAAGCAGGTGGTTTAGGGTAAATGTTTTTGTAGTTAACAGCTTTTCTATATAGCCTTACTTCCATTAAGCTTTTCACCTGCTCTCTGAGTGCAGTGCTTTCATGTTTTTGAAATACTTGCATGCTGCGTTCTCTGTTGGATCAACAAATGATTTCTATAAAAATAAATTTATCTATTAAAGGAGTCACTGGTGTCTAGTGACTAGACTTGTAGATTGGGAGACTGAACTTGAGGAGGCCTGGCCTAATTAATCACTTTATGTTCGATGCAGTCCCAAATCAGGATACACCTAAGCACCTTCTTAAACTCACACTTAAAGTTAAGTCCCACTGAAGTCAATGGAAATTAAGCACATACTTAAATGTTTTCTTGAGCAAGGATGCATCTCTATATTGGGCCTACGATAAATCAGAAATAATGTTTAGAAGTATAAAAATGGGAGTTGAATCTAAAGAATAAGATGTTTACCCTGAGGATGAACCAATCAATAATCAGACATAGGGAAAACTGCAGTAGTACAGTCCTCTTTATTTCACCATATGCCAGTAAGATTGGCATACCTTTGTGTAAATAATGATATCATCATCTCAAATGTAAGAACATGTTACTGAACAAAGAATGTCTCTTTTATGAAGGGATTTTATTACTGACCTATTTGAAACATTTGTTTATACAAGCAGAGATTTGTCTGGAAAGTAAACGATTATAACATTTCAAAAATACATTCCAGCAGGAAACAAAAGGGTAAAAAAAAGCATCAGAAAAATGTTTAGGAGAATGTTATTAAAATTATGACAACTTTTCATTTTATAACTTCTACTTTGTCATGAATAGTGGAGGCAGTCTGTGTAGCTGTTAAACCACAAGACTGGGAATCAGGAATCTTGGGGTTTGAGTGTTGGCCTCTGCAAATGATGCAGTAGCAGTGAAATTCTCTTCTGTGCTAAGAATTGCGATTTGAAGTGGGACTTAAATGGCTCATGGAGCTTCTGATAGCCCTCTGGACAGGGGAGAATTTCACCCTGTGTGACTTCAGGACAATTGTGTGTATCTGTTTAAATAAGTAATTAATGTCTGGAAAGTGCTTTTCATTTATATAGCATATTTTTTTCAGATCTCAAAGTTATTATTATAGCTTTCTTTAATGTTTCTTCATTATTTTGTCAGAGTACTCTTTGAAAGATAAAAGGTAAACAAAAGTAAACTAGGGTTGAAAACACAGACACGCACAATATCCCACTTCCCCTTCCCCTAAAGCACTGTGTTTTTAGCACCCCCCTCAAAAATCTCCAACATGGAAAAGAAAAAACACTAGGTGTTAGTATCCTGAGAAATGGAGCAAACAAAAACCCTGAATGAAAAAAATGGCCCAAATTCATCACTGGCATAAGTCAGCAATGACCCCGCTTTGGAATTAGGCATCTAAGGAGTTTTTTGTAAGAAGCCAGGGTTGTGGAGAGGGAGGAGGAGGAGGACCTCCCTCATAACTTTTTGTCAGGGATCTGCCACTCCCACATAAAGAGTCACTGGGTGCAGAGAGAGAGAGGGAAAACATGTTAGCATCAGAATGACTCTATAGCCTAGTGGTAAGAGCATTGTCTCAGGATATTGGAGATGCAAGAGTCCAGCCCCTCTGCTCCAATGTGGAACAGCTTCCACAGGAGCAATTGAGGGTGCCCTACGTCAGAATATCCAATAACCCAGAGGTTAGGGTTTCACCTGAGAGTTGACAGATCCCTTCCCCTCTTGTGGACAGGTAATGTGACACACTGAATAACCTAATCACTGGGATAAAAGTTGTGGGAGGTTCTCCTCTTCCTCATTCCCCAGCTGTTCTGTGCGAACCTCTGAGCATGCTGATTAGATAGGATCCCAAACACATATTAGGCAGCCAAAGCCTATCTTCCTGAGTTTGTGAATTGCTCTGGGGCTCAGGCAGGAGACAGGCATCTGGATACCTAGCGTAAGGCACCACTGTGCATACCCTGAGGCAGAAACATAGGCACCCAGGAAACTTTTTACTACAAAAACGTAGATGCTGAGTGAGTTCAGGTGCCTTCAGGCTTCAGCAGGATTTTCATGAATTGGAGCCTAAAACTGGGATTTAAATGCCTAACCCCAGAGTTTGGTACCTAAGTACCTTTGTGAATCTAGACCTCTGATACTATAATGATCGGTGCCCCTATAAAACAATAGCATCAAACAGATGCCAAAACCAGGGGATAACTTGGAAGGAGGACTATAGAAGAAAGGTACAAGAGTATGCATGGTAAAGTATGCGGTCCCACTGCAAATCCACACCCAATTAGTTTACACTTGTGCTTTCCTCAAAGTTTTTTAACACCAACCAAATGCCAAAAACCACTGAGTTACTTTACCACTTTCTGAACATACTGTCTGAACATGCAATTTACACTACAATTATCATCACTGCTCAACTGAGCCCAATATGCATTGACTTTTGTACTCTCACCAAGTTATCCTGAGGGCTCAGATGCCACTTATGTGCATTAAAAAAAACTAGCAACATAGTCCAATTATGTTAAGTTCTTGACCAGAAAAGCTGAGTTGCTTATTGAGGCGTTTCAGATACATGGCTCACTGCAACAAAAGTAAAAACTTATTTTGCACTGGTATCTTGCATGCTTTTGGTGCTAATAAAAATAAGATATAAAATGAAATGCTCCCAGCATGATGCTGCAGAAATGTGTTTCCCTGGGTTATGATTTAATCCATAACTGTAGTAACGTAGATCACAACTGGCTCATTTCTCATCATAAAGAACCCTGGATTATTCAGAGGCTGCTATGAATGGCCTTAATGGGGGGAGGGATAGCTCAGTGGTTTGAGCATTGGCCTGCTACACCCAGGGTTGTGACTTCAATCCTTGAGGGGGCCATTTAGGGATCTGGGGCAAAAATTGGGGATTGGCCCTGCTTTGAGCAGGGGGTTGGACTAGATGACCTCCTGAGGTCCCTTCCAACCCTGATATTCTATTCTATGATTCTATAAAACCAAGTGGGTGGAAACAGTTCCATTTATTACTTGGTAAAACATCAAGATCCTTGCCCTCCTATGTGAAAACCCCCTTACCATTTTCCAGGTGAAACTGAAATCCAGTCCTAAGGGTGAAGTGGTTTGAAGAAGGATAACTTAAGTGCACTTCCCCCTTCAAGACTTGGCTGCTGCTTCCTCTGAGTCAGAAGGATCCTCTTTCTTCACTTTGCAGCAAGTGGTTTCCTGTTTCCTCCCTTCTAGTGTGTCTTTCTGAGACCTGACCTTAGATCAGTGGGAACTGTATCTTCCTGATGCTTAAATCTCTGCAAGGGGAAAGAGCGTTTCAATCTCAGAGGTGAAATTTACCACTAAAAGGCAGTGTCACAACATGCCAATTTCCTGTGCTTTGATATGGCCCCATTGGTCACTGAATTAAGCAAGCCCCAATGCTACAGACATTATTGGCTGAAGCCCCTTGAGATGAAATTGAACTCACTTCAGTAACATTAAAGCAATGTAGGGAAAAGGCTGCATTTCTGTGTGAGTGCATTTCACAGGACGTTAAAGCTGCCTTCACATTTAATAAAGTGCTGCTTCCACACGTCCTAGGAGAGGCAATCACAGTGATTTGGGCTCAGCAGGCAAACAAAGTAAAACAGTGATTTGGAGGGGAAAAAGATTTCTCCTGCAACACTTGCAGGCAGCCCAGACTCCTGAGCCCCTCTCACAGGCTGGCCTAGAGTTGAAGTTCACAAAGGTAAGACACTGGAAGAAAAGTGACTTGTCACAACAATTGTGTGCATGTTTGGAGGGATTAAAAAGTACCAGTGGAGCCAATGGCAACTCACACCAGCTGAAGCTCTACCACTTGGATGCATGAGTCTAGGAGATGCATCCAGTTTCTTTGGTTTAATGGCCGAGATGCAAGCTCCTGAAAAAGACACTGGGAGCTAAAGCTAGCCCGCAGAAACAACTTTCACACATTAAACCTCTAATGAATGGAGAGAGTGATAGCAACCACCTTCATCTCTCAGGAAGGAGTAGGGGTTAGCCTTCTCCTACTCAAGCCGTCCTGAATGCTCTCTTCAAGTAGTGTGATGATATCTGATCCCCCCATATACTTCCCCTCTATCAAATGCATTTTGTCTGTGGCAAGAGGACTCGTTTATGGTTATTTATACATAGAACACACACACAGGTAGTGAAAGCAAATGCACACATTTGGGGATAAGAGGATTCTTTCCTCCCCATTAAGAGCATCCACAATTTAGGATTTATGGTTTCCAGGGCAATTGACCTATTTTGAGGGAAAGGAAACAGAGACCACCACCATTTACCAAGCCTCCCCCCTCGTATTTAACCAACTATGCACCTCTTCCTATGCAGATCCTTAAGAAAAGGAGACATATCAGTTTATATGCATATAATTTTTTTTATGACAAGTGTACATCCGTTTGGGACATCACATTGTAGAGTTAACAAGTTGTGTTATTTAAGCTCAACTTCAGATGGTTCTTCATTTAGAGCAGAGGTAGGGAGAAATTTATTATCAGTAAATGCCAGGTGTTTTTTTTTTTTAAGTTATTTATTTCACTTCCAGATGGACAATTCATAGACTTAGGAAGATATAAAACCAGTGTGTACAAGATGTGTCACAATAGCAGACTAGAGATCATGCAGCACCTTTAGAAAAATTAAAATTCTGGAATATGTACAGTTAAGTGCCACACTGAATATTTACAACACAGTAATTTACTGCAATTAGTCACTGAAAGTTTCTTAAAGAAACAAACTTCATATTCCAGCTGTAGGAAGGGGAAATAGCAGAGTACTTAGTGTAACTTCCAAATCTGTACATCCTTAGAGATGAACTGCCAAAAAACCAAACAATGCACTGCCCAGAAACCTCCTCCAAAGTCCATCATATGTAGTGAGGAGTGGTGTTCAATGTCTTTGACAAGTATGCAGTCTGGAAGAGTTGGTGGTTGCATAATCTCTTTGTAGCCGACAGGACAGACCTTCTCCACAGTAGCATCGCTGGAAAATCTCCAGGCCATGAGAGCCTTTCCTTCGGTGTTTGGTGCATACTTGGCCTTCCTTAAGGACAGGTTTACAGATCTTGGACCAGAAGTGACGTGCACAGCACAATCCAGCAGCACAGTCGGAAGAGCGGAGGCAGGTGGTACTTTCCTGACCTTTGAAAGGAGAAAGTGATTAAAAGCCTGTGGTAAATTGGCTGGATTGCAGGAGAGTCTAACAGCAAAGCCTTGAACAAGCAATTGCAGTATAGGAGGCAGACTTTGTCTAGGGCTTGTCAGAAAGTAGTTGAGGGGGAGAGAGCCACAGAGAAGCAGCTGGATGGCTACATTTAGCCTCACTGCTTCCTCAGGTGGTATTTCTGGCAGAAACCCCAGTTGCGCTGTGCCTCAGTTAAAATGCCTTTTACGCAAGGCTTTAGTATACTGCAGGAATAAGGGGAAGCCTAAGCAAGGTTTGCAGCTAACCCACCCCCACCTAGTTACACTTGCTAGTGGAAGAGCCACCAGGCCCCCTTACCTTTCAGGTGGTGCAGCTGGGATGGGGATGTGGTCCTTTTGGGATGCAAGTCTGGGATTCCATGGTCAGGACTGAAGCTCTCGATGATGGTCTCCTCCATCTCCCCGGGGAGAAAGTGACCTTGTTCAGATGGCACACACATCCCTGAGCGGGGAAACAGGGCAGGAGTCAGCACAGCCTGGGTAACACACCAGGGCCCCGCTCGAGGCTGCCACGCCAGCAGGGTACCCCGCAGGTGCGCAGCTACCGGGTAGGCGGGTGCTCCCCGCAGTAGCGCAGACACACGGCCCTTGGGACCCATCTGAGTCTAGCTATTGCACCTGCAGCCGGGCCAGGGCCAGCCTCCCCGCCCCTCCACACCCGCCGCTCACCGTTATTGCAGTAGTTGCCCGGGCAGCACATGGCATGGCGCAGGCAGCGCTTCCGGCGTTTCCTGCAGGCGAGGCAGAGCGGGACTGCGGAGCCGGCCCCGCGCGGGGCGCCGGAGCAGAACTCGTCCGGGGCGCAGTCCTCGTCCTCTGAGCACGTGAAAGGCTGCAAGGGAGACACAGCGCCAGTGAGCGGGCTCACCGCGCGGGGGGGCAGAGGAGCCCCTGGCGCCCCGCTCACCGGCCGCTCACGTACCTGGTGGGTCTCGACGGCCTGGTGCTTGTTGCCCGCCTCGAGCAGGGCCGAGTCTGCGGGCGCGGCACTGGCGAAGGAGCCCCCCTGCCCGGCGGCGCCGCCTGGCAGCAGGTTCTTGATGGCGTTGGAGTTGAGGAGGCTGGAGCCGAACCCGGCACTCGACGCCGACGCTGCCCAGCACAAAGCGGCCGCCAGCGCCACACATAGGCGGGCCGCGCCCTCCGCGCCCAGCAGCATCTTCCAAGCGGCAGCGAGCTGAAGCCGGGGGGGGGGGGGGTCAGATCCGGCCCGCACGAGGTAAGGGACCCGCGCGGTAGCTGTACGCTGGGTGGGCTGGGGCGCCGCTGCCGAGCGCAAGCCCGCGGTAGCGCAGAGAGATGTTCCGCACAGCTGCCCGCCACTGGCAGTTACCTGCCTGCCCGTTGCTGCCTTTATACTCCCGGGGGCTGGCTCGTGGTCCCGCCCCTACGGGGTGAAGGGGGAGGGCGCCACAGGCAAAGATGAGATTTCAAAGCGAGCCTGGGGGTTGCGCTGCTGCCACCCCCCAAAAGCTTCCTCATTGGCCGAGTCCCAAGAGGGGAATTTCGCAATCGCCGCCGTGAAAATTATCAGCGACTTCCCAGGCAGCTGGTGCTGCCACAAGGCTCTTCGCGGCCGGGAGCCCCGAGCTGAGCTGCGGGCACCGGGGGCTGCCTGTTTTGTGGGAATCGCGTACACTTTGTGACCTAAATCCCTCCTTTTAAAACATGTTGTCACACGGCGCCGAACCTCCACCCTCCGTCGGGGCCGCTGGGGGTCGCCTGTGCTCAGGATCAGCTGCCCAACCACGTTACCAGTCCCCCCAGTGTGGACTTTTGTGTATTCAGGGGGGAAGCCGAACATTACTCGGCTCTGTTACGTGTGAGGGGAGCATTTAACGAGGCGCAATCGTTTTCCCGGAGGGTGCTGTTTGAGTTGGCGTTTTTCACTGTATATAATCTTCTTTGAACAAAACAAAACACACCTAATTTCCACATCAAACGCTGCGTAAGAATGGAGGCCACGCTTTCTAATTATCCTTTGATGGGATATTTAGAGGGAGCCTGGTATCTGTTAGTTGCAAATTAGTTCAAGGATGGTTTGTCCTGTACAAATGTAGGAAGGCGAGGTAGAGTCCGAAGCTGTCAAGTCCCCATTTCAAGAGGTGTGTTTTAACTTTATTCAAATGCTTTCCTCAACTGGCAGCATTTGCCCCCTCAGTGTAATGGGAGACGCTGGTTAAACATACAACGGAGATCAAAGGCTGGTGCAGCGCCAAGCTGCCGAAAACAGTGTGCCAAATTAATTATCTGGTCGAAGCCTCCTAAAACAAACCTAGGTTGATTAGCACGTAGTGATAAGGCGCCGCTGCCGGTCCTTTTAACTGTCTTTTAGGCACTGGGAAGCACTAATAGTTCATAACTTTGTGACACATAAGTTAAAGGGGTATTCTGACTCGGGAGTGCAAAGGGACGAAGTTACAAAATAAGCCTTTGCTGTAAAGAGGCGACTTAGCATCCCCGCCTGGGGACGGGGCGACTTGACAATTCGCGCTCCCCACGCTCTAGCCGGATGTCAAACAGCCGCAGCAGCAAGTGGTTGTATATTGTTCCTACGATTTGGCCAGGATTTCATAACAACGGCTCTTGAGCGAGCCTGCCTCGCCCCCTCTGGTTTTGGGGGGGCGTTGCGCATTTTAGAGGCCTGGATTGTGAGGTTTTCACCTGCCAGACAGGTTTTGAGCTACCAAAGCAGCCCCTTTCCGCTCTTAATGGGATAGTAGCGCTGTTTGGTGCTTTAAAAACACATTGCATCATCCCACTGCGGCATATGCAAGCGGTGGTCTGGATTTGTAGCCTTTACTCGCACATTGACTTCAAAGGGACTGTTCAGTGATCTAGGGTTACTACTGTAATTAGAGGCAGGATCGGGCCTTTTAGTGTGAGGTTAAACTTTCCAGGCAAGCTTATCTCGGCTAATAGGAAATAAACAAAGGCTTGGCATAGCTCATTAGGGCTTTGCCATGAGGAATAAAATCTGTTTGAACAGGAGGGCCATGTCTGACGATCACTTTTTTGCAAATGTTATTGTAGCTGTGTGGGTCCCTGGCTATGAGCGAGACAAGGCGGGTGAGGGAGTATCTTCTATTGGACCAAGAAGGTGCAAGAGACAAGTTTTGGCGTATACACACATATTACACAGAGCCCGTCTTCAGCTCTGGGTTTTGGTGTCTAACTGCCTATGCTGCAGGTTATGTATTGTTTTAGAATGGCGCACCTAGGGAAACCATGGTGCTGAGGTCTGGAAAGATGTGACTCACCTCTGTACGGGTTAGGTGGGCTCCCACTGCAGGACGCAGTTAATGTGGACTATTAGCTGCTGTATTAGTCAACATGGTTAGCTGGGCCCTTTAGGAACCTTTAAAGCCTCAAACAGTAAAATCAGTTCCCAAGAAAACACAGAGTTATCACTTTATTCTCAGCATCATTTATGCCCGGCCCTGGCTGCGCGCTCTCACCCATTAAAAGGCGGGTATTCCCGCCTCTCTGCTCTCATTTAGAGCAGTATTTCCCTGGGGCAGCCTGCCGCACTTCCCATAAGACTCCCAGCCCTGTGCCTCCGCAGGGCTGTAACAGCTGGCTCCAAATCAAGCCAGTCAGCCCCTCGGTTACCTAAAAGCAGAGCGAGCCGCTCGGGCTGCCCAGCACGTGCTCCAGAAGAGGCGCGCTGGGTACCTCGGAGCGCTGGAAGCGAGCGGGCTGCGCTGCACAGGCTCCGGCCATGGGCTTGAAGGTCAGTAACGTGCCCGGCTAATCCTCCCCCACTCGCGCTTCCTTAATACGGAACTGTGCCAGCCTCCACGTTGCGCAGCGCTGCACGGTCGGCGCCGTGCCAGCCTGCACGTTACACACAGCCTAGAGCAGCTCCCCCACCCTCCGCATGGCGCCGTGTCCGCTGCGATTGGGCACGGGCCAGTGCCCCCCCAGCCAGGCCCCGTGTGTCTCCTCCCGTCCTGAGGGTGGGGCTGCTTCGCAGCCCTCTGGGCCCCGCGGGCTGGGGCTGCGGGGGGACCCGGCTTGCCGGGCTCCCCGCACCACGCCGCGTCTGGCTCACTGGCTCGGCAGCTGACAGGGCTCAGCGCCGTCCCTGGGGCCGGGGCTGTGTTTGCTCAGCGTGTCAAGCGAAGCTTGCTGAGCGCTCGCTTTGATAAGCGGAGATCAAAGGCACCGGGGATCCCAGGTCTTAATCAGCCGTGAGCCTCGATGGCGAGGCCCCAAACAGTCCGTTCGCTGGGGTTTTGCTCAGCAGCACAGCCTGGGGCAGCGTCTGCCTGGCCGCAAATCCATTCCCACGACAGTGCGCGCTGTTGGCTTGCAGTGCGAGTCTCCGGCCGGCCCTCTGCCTGCATGAGACGGGAAGGGGAGGATTGGCTTGAAGCGTTTCCTGGGGACTTGCGGGGCCTTGTCTGGCAGGGGACAATGAAAAGTAACGCGCTCAGCGCCCTCCTGTGGTCGCTCAGGGTCAGTTTGCAAAGCACCTACAAAAGGCTGGGCCGGGCCGGATTAACCTTTTGGGGGCCCGGCGCCAAACATCGTTGTGGGCTCCCATATAGTGAGCCCGACGGCACCACTGGTGTCATGGGACTGCTGGGGTGGGGATGAAAACATTTATTCAAAAACAAAGTAAGATATTTGAAGCTATGGTTGATTGAAACCTCCACCCAGCCCAGAGAGAACAAAGTGGGCAATCATCAGTATACCCAGAATATTCTTGATTTTGGTTTACTTGTGTCGGCGGGCTTTTGTCTTTTTAGTTTAACTGCTCAGGGCCTGCTTGGGGACCTGAACACAAGTCTTCACTTAGCACAGTTATGAGCCATATAAAGCCTGGATGTAGCAGTCAGTGGAGTTGCACCTGCATCTCCCCACCACTTCCTCTACCTACAGTTATGTTTCGCAAATACATTTTTTGAAAGCTGGATTTTCTACTTTGATGCAGTAATGTTTAAATATTAAAAAAAAATAGTTTCTTTAGTCTATTTCTCCCTTTGCCTCACCATCCCTCATGACTTTAAACAGAAAAGTTACTGTGCTGGAGTGTGAGGAGGAAAATTGTTGGTGCCTGTCTTTTGCAGGGAGAAAGGGTCAGACAGACAGACAGGTACACACACACTTACAATTTACCAACACAATCCAGCCTTAAGCCCCTACCCCAACTTTCACACCTGGGCTCTCCCCATGCCTCCTACTGTCCTCCCACACACAATTAACCCCCACCTTCAAACAAGGGCTCTCCTTAATCACCCTGCTATTGTCAACCCCCCACTTTCACCCCAGGGCTGTCTCCCTCTCTTCTACTGCCCCCCGTGCCCTGAGCCAACCCCACCTTCAACCCAGACTCCCCTCCCTCCCTCTGCTCCCACATACAGCCCCAACCCCCACCTTCATCTCAGACTCCTCTCCCTCTGCCCCTCCACACCCAACCCCGATCTTCACACCCTGCTTCTCCTACCCCCTTCCCAAGGAATCACCGCTGGCTCTCCCGTCGCACTTGGACTTGCCCCACAACTGCCCCTTGCCCCACAACTGCCCCTTGCCCCCAAACTACACTCTATCCCTCCCTGGAGTGCAGGGGAGAAGTTTCTGGGCCTTCTCAGTGGCAGGGGGTGGTGGCAGCCAGCCCCACTGTCACCATCCCTCGGCTCTGAGGGACACAGAGAACCAGCCTCCCCCACACTGCCCCCCAATGGCAGCTGAGGAGACACACACACACACCTGGGCTGAAGCTGCAGGGTCAAGACGGTGCCCAGGAGCCCACAGCTGGGCATCAGGGTTGCTGGGGGCCACATGCTGGGAGTCACAGCACTGCTGCTGCTACCCCGGAGAGCAGGGGAGACTCGGAGGTGGGGGGGGGTGAGGCGCTCGTGCCCCATGGGGAGGGCGGTTTGGTAGGATCAGCACCCCAGCACCGGGAACCCTCTCCCTGCACTATTTCTTTTTTGGTCCATTCCTGCCACTCACTTCAACTGGGGCAGCTCACAGGATGGTGCTGGGCATTATGGGACTACTAGTGTTGCTGGCAGAGCAGGTCCAAGGGCCTCGGTGGAAGGCAGCTTCACGCGAACTACAGCTCCGAGCACACCTTGCAGCACATTGCTTGGCTTGGCCAGGGCTGGATTAACCCTTTGTGGGCCTCCAAATAGTCATTATGGGCCCCTTCCAAATGTGGGCCTGGTGCCATTGTAAACCCGGTACAGACACTGGGGGCATCTCCACTCTAAAATTTGAGTATTACCTCACTAAACAACAATACACCTTGAAAGCATTTGAAACAATAGGAGGAATGATTTTAAATTGTTAATCAGGCATTTCCACCCAATAGAGGGAGGAATGAGGAAAAAATAATGTAGCTAAATCTGATAATTTTGTAGGGGAAGCCTGGCAGACAGTTATAACAAACTAGTCAGCTGAAACTATCATCAGCATGACAATGGTTTTGAAAGTAAAATGAGGCCAAAAAATACTGCAGCTGGTTACCTGGGACCCTCTTTGTGTGGCTCTTGTCCAGTTGCTGGAGGTTAGGCATTCTCTAATGAGTTGGGATTGAGAGTTCCTAAGTAACAAGGAGACTTTATTACCATAATTCATTCCATTGGCAGAGAAGGAGAAAGAATCCAATATAGAACTTGAGAACCACAAGGGCTGGGGAAATTAGGGCTTTAAATACTGTTTTATGCTATAATCCATAAACTCTGTCTTGAAGATAGCAGCAATAATGTTATGGATCTAGTAATTGTGGGTTCCATTCCTCAGAACAGTACTGCACATGGTTTCTCCTGACACTAATGTACAGTGACTTGGGGATAGTACCTAACTTTCCAGAGTATCTCCAGAGATGTGAAGGCTCTGAACCTTTGGTGCACAGGAGGTTTTTCATAAGCTTCATATAATGACAACTTTCCTAAGGGGGAAAAAAGAGGAGCTAGGTAGTGAAAAACCACTTTCTATAACTATTCTTCATGGGATAGTTGTCTCCTCTATCCAGAGTGAATTTCGATCTGAGATCCCTTTTCCCCCCTATCAGTAGGCAGATTGTAGAAGAGTAGAAAAGTGCTTGCATTTGGGTGATTAACTGATGGCATTTAATTTGTGTGAATATAAGAGAATAGATTTTTTTACTGAGAATTTATTTTGCTTCTGAAACTTGAACTTGGAAAACCATGCAATAACATTGCTCAAGAGTGGCATTGTTGCTATAATGTAAGTCTCTTAGGGCCTGACTCCACTCCTATTCAAGTCAACTGCAAAATTCCTCTTGATTTCATTTGAAGCTGGATGGGGCTTTATTATGGGAATCACTCCAAGCTATAAAAAGGAGCGACATCTTTAATGTGATGCAGGCAGATGTTTGTTAAAACAGAATGATATATCACAATGGTGGTGGCATAAAATGCATTAGTGGCTGTGTGTGGGAGGCTCCAGCAGGTATTTATTTTCCTTCCACCTGGCCAATTTACTTAATTCATTCTCATTCCTTTGAACAGACTTTCTCTATTTACAGGGAGTGCAGTTTTATTCATTTTATTCATTTCCTTTACTAAGGTTAGATAAAAATATCATTAAACTATCATCAGCATGAAAATGGTATTAAAAGATTGTTTTGAAAGTAAAATGAGGTTAAAAAAATACTGCAACTATACCATCTTCATCAAAGCTTTGCAGATCATAAATGCTAATTCCCTTAAGGCTTGGGTGTTTACTTCAGAAGATACAACCCTTTAATTAGAACTACAGTATTGACCACCCACATACAGTGTTATTGATACTCTTGTTACCTTGTGCTAGGGTATTGTCAGATCTTGTAAGCAAAGCAGGATCAGGCCAGGTCAGTAATTGGATGGGCATCCTTCAAAGAACACATCAGGTGTTGCAGGAATTGGTGTAGGCAAGACACTTCTCTTTGAATCAGTGATGAAACATTGTTGGAGCATGGTGTTTTAGGTATTGTGCCGCTGTTTCTCAGATGAGATGTGAAACCATGATCTTTACATTTGTATAGTCATTAGAGAACCCATGACTTCATGTTATTTTTAGCATAGAATAGCTAACATCACCTCTGGCCAAAATCTGATTCTGGTAATTATGTGATGACACTAAATTATCTTTGTAATTTTCAACTGAATTCATCTTTACATTTCCTAAACTGTTGCTGTAAAGCAGCTGTTGCATTCTATGTCAGATGTGGCTGCATGTCAGTAGTGCATGAAGTGATCCCTGTGTACAGTATCTCTTTTCTAGCCTATAGGACTGTTGGGGTACTTCATTAATTTTGTAAATTACTTGAGCTATTTAGATCCATTCAAATAGGGCCATTTTTATCTGTCTACAAACTGCAACATTTGCAATAACCAGATCCTGAAAACAGTTATGATATTTTCTCAGTATCTCCCCATATATCAAGTTTCAAGGGGGCTTTCCTTACTGGGGGGCTGAAGGATAGTTTCTCTTACTTGGATCTTTATTTCACTTCCTTCAGTATTTGCTGCAAAGCATTTAAGCATCTGCTTGACTTCCATTTCAGTGGGATTTACACAGATGCTTAAATGAGTTGCTCAATAGGGAAGGGCAGCTATTGTACACATTGAGCTTTTAGCACACAAACTCAGGCCCTAATCTTGCTATTTTGCAAGATCCACATTTACTACTGAGATGATGAGATCAGGCAGTAACTCCTCATATCCTGAGCACGGTGGCATTGGAACAGTTTATATAGTGGGGGTGCTGAAAGCCATTGAACAAAACTGTAAATCCTGTATAAGATGGAAACAACTTCAAGACAGGGGGTGTTGCTGTTCAAGCACCCCTGACTCAGCATTGCAGAACTCATGTGGCTTTCTAATTACAAAGCTGAGACCTACATTACAGCGTTGCCTGTGGGTAGGCTTGAAGTAATCCACATTTTCCTGGCATATTGTCCACGGTTGGTCAGTCACTATCTCTAGACATGACAGGGATAAGGGACAGCCATGACAGACTACTTTTTGTTTTATCGCCATCCATCTGTTTTCATTTTCGTGGCACATGTACTATTTATGGTCAAACAGTATTCTTCGGGATTCAGTTTACTTTTTTTGGAAGTATATTTGTTTTCAGTATGCATGTTACATATATATTTATGTAAACAGAGAAACACAGATATAACAGTAGAGGTACATAATTCTTTTACAACCTCTAATAATTGTACACACACATAAATAGATGGTACCATAAATACATTCAAGTATGCCATCTAACATATCTGTGATATTCAAATGAAACATCACACTTCAGTCACCATGGAAATCTCGCCTCTTCAGTATGGTCACCTTGTGTCTGTTTTAGATAAGGACATGACTGCATTAATGCTTTAAGAGTACTCAGTCTAGAAGTACTTTCTAACAATTGTTAGATCATGTGTCAGCATGTATCATCATAAAATATAATAAAATATTATTAGATTCTGATTTGAAGTACAACTTGTACAAAACTAGAAATCTGACATTGCAGAGCACATCAAAACAATGTTCAAAAGTAATTATTTTTATTTCAACTCTATAAAGTATACAACAGGCACTCAGCAATTACAGCTGCAGGGAAAATACAGAGCAAAACAAAAGCAGTTAAGTTTACAAAAAAAAGTTCTTAAATCTACATCAAAAGAGTGCAACTGGTCAATGACCATTTGATGACAGACATTGTATTTTGACAAACAAAAAACTCTTTCATGTAGAATCCATTGTAAGAAGAAAACCAAAGAATTATAGCCATAAGAATACAAAAGAAACAACCAGTGTAAAAACAGCATACATTGGAATAAGTATGGTAGGCAACTCTGAATGAAATTTCCCTTTGCTAGTAAAGCCTGAAACATTTGAGAAATTGTCAAAGTCTCAGTACTATGTCTGTTTATGTAGTAGACAGTTATGGAAGAAGAGAACTAATAACATACTTTCAATATTTAGCTTTCTAGGTGTGTTGAGAGCTTGCCTCAGAAATGATTTGCATATACAAGAGCTCATATAAAGCACTGATCCTGTTTTGTTGAGTGGTGCAACAAGATATTTCTTTTGTAGTCATTGGTTTCACGTTGAGATGTGATTTTGTTTGGTGTAAATTACAGTTAATTGCTAATCATTTGTGTGTGTGGAACATTTGTAATGGAGTGTATAAAATACGATATGTTAGAACTTTACTGCACTATAGTTTTTTAAATCTGCACAGCTTAGCAAAACAGGAATACCTGTATACAGACTGATAGTATGTCATATATTAATTTGACCTGCACGTACATTTATACATTTCACAGAAATGACGCTGTATCTCATTAACAGATTCACAGCTCTGGTACATTTAACAGAAATAAGAGAACAACTTCATCATTTCTGTAATTCTTCAATATTATATAATAAAGGCTTATAAATTGTTAGCAGAAAGAACTGTAAAACGCAGCAAGCTAAGAAAGGACAACATTTTGAGGTGTGTTTGTCTTTGTCATGCAGCATAACACCAAATTTGTATTTTTATAGGATGCCATGAATTTAAGGCACTTGCAACAATGCCAAATAGCTAGGTCATGTTCTAAACTATGGAACAGATGAATAAGAGTACAGTTGACAAAGTTCAATAATACTGACAATTATGACATTAATTCAAGTTTACTTTGATCTAAAACATTACATTACAAATAAGAAAAATGAAGTAATAATGCCATGGAACTCCAAATAAAAAGTTATATGAGTACCACAAAATATCAACACGAAGAATATCTATTTACATAAATATTTGCTTATGGTCCTATTGTTAAATAAGAGGGGTTTTTTTATGAATAATGCAGCAGTGTAATGAGCTACAGATCATCTGTATCTTATGAACCCAGTGCTAACACACTTGTTTTAAATATGGTAGCTGATTTCTCCTTATGTAAATACATCATCTTTCCATACATGATAAAGGAGGCAAAAAAAAAAAAGGCAAGTGGAAATACTGAGGCCATCAATTTATGTGAATGTATATATGTAAATCAAATATATTAATTATAAATGAAGGGGTTATTCATATACATATGATCATTTAAGTTATTTAAAATATACTTGGTAAAGAAGATGAAAGTTGAGTGAAGATTTATATCAAAATAAATTTGTATTAATACACAGCATGCCATAGGATTTGGATATTATTGTATGTGGCACAAGGACAAAACTGATAGGAACAAACAAAAGTAATTGATAACAAGCTCATTTTGAAACATTCTTCCTGTATTGTTTTCAGTTCACCCAAAAAATATTCGCAAAAAGAAAAGGAGTACTTGTGGCACCTTAGAGACTAACCAATTTATTTGAGCATGAGCTTTCGTGAGCTACAGCTCATATTGTGACACTCTTTTCTCTTGGCAATTCTTCAGTTCATTGTAACTGATAGTTGAATCCCAAGTACTCATACCATAATGACTATTTAGAATTGAGAGAGATGATAAACTCTTGTTCTTCATGTCCTTATGTATAACAAGAAAGTCAATTAACAAATTAAACAAGTTTCACTGTCCAATATGGCCACATCACTCCCATGTCAGACAATGGGGGTGAAGGGATCCAGTTTTAATGCAGAAATAAGGTGAATACACTTTTTTTTTTTTACTAAGATGACTATGAGACTGTTTTAGCCCTAGTATCTAGTGTCTGCTTTCGGACAGTATTTTAAATCCCTAAGTTAAATGTTTAAAATTAAGTATATGGTATACTTGTTGTATACAAGTAGTTCCTCGTAGATGTAATTATTATTATTTTTATGATTGCTTCAGAGTGTACAAACCTTAATGCAATGCCACACATGATTAATGAATAGCAGAAGTAATTTGCAGTTATGTTGTGCTGCTGATATTGCCTCATCCTACTATATGTAACTGTAAAAATAAATTAAATAGGTTAGTTAAAGGAAACTGCGGTAAGTGAGGCTTTCTAGTCTGCTGGCAAATTGTAGACATGATGTTGGTATATTCATTATTCTACTTTGACAATGTTATCCTTAAAATGCTTTATTAAGCCAATGTATGTCCTTATGAATATGAAAACCTGCTAAAATGTATTCATGGTAGGCATTCTGTTATTGATAAATCCCCTACTATTTGCTTCTCCTGTATTTAAAGGTAAAGACAAAAATGCCACAAAATCTTCACAGGGGCCTGCTCCTGTTGAAGTCAGTAGTGAAACTTCTATTGATTTCAGTGGGATAAGATCAGATCCTAAATTTCCATGCTTTGAAAAATCATGTATGCTATTAATATGCTGATGTATTAGGACACGTACAGTGGTCACCACAAAAAACTAACATCTGCTAACTGTTACCGCACAGTGTTATTTGGGATTACCATAGTCTTCCCGTAAATTTAGAACAGGAGATATCCATAACTGTGTGGTACCAAATGTGGGAAATGTTGATCTTTTAACGGCTTCAATACATATATAATGTGTTGGAGCACAATAAATTAAGTCACATATTTTGACTCTATAACATGGTATAATCAGATGTGGCATCATATGCTGCTCCAATGAATATAATGGGGCCCTGGTAAAATCTATTGCAAATTCTGAAAACTAATGCCTCTTATAAATGTGAGGGGGTAAACTTACATTCAATCTAACACATCTCTGATTAGTTGGCAAATAAGGTTTGATTTTTTTCTCATATCATTGTAGATCAGGATTGACTCCAGTGATGTAAAAGCAGTTGAAGTGAGAAAAGAATTCAGGCCTATAGTATCCTTTTCCCTTGTCTTTTTTATAGCAGTTTGTGGTGGCTTAATTCTATAGCCATTGCAGCACCTCAGTATAATCAATGAAGTGTCTGTGTACTGCAGATATACATGCCAGCAGATCTCTCACAAATACAGTAGACCTGTGTTGCTATCACATTAGTTTTCCACTTATGTGGTCTGCCATCAGAATGCCATCCATTACTCCAGGCAGAGTATTAGGATTCATTGTTATAATACTATGTTGTAACTGAAAACGTTGGTTTAGTTACATTTTGAAATATAGTGCTAAAAATATAGCGCTAAAAATATAGCGAGGTCATCTGCAAACTGCCCTCGGTATTGATATATTGTTAAAGAAGCAGGAAAAGTAAGAATACTATGATGGCTCCCAAATACTGCAGAGTAAAAGCAGAGAAGATGCAAATGTGGAGACTTAAAGGATTCTCTGTTTTTAGAGCATCACTAAAGATGATGTCTCTTGCTACATATCTCTGAAATGCTTATTGACTGTTGAACATTTATATTCACAGATGAAAGACGTACATAGCACCTATACAGTATGTTACGGGTCTTAGATTTTCTTCCTTGGGCTCTAAAAGCTAAGGGTTATTTTAAGATCAGTCTTTATTTCTAATAATTAATAAGACCAGTCGGTTGTTGTCATTCTATTTCTAGGACCGTTATTTAAGCACAGTTTTTTAATATGTAGAATGAATAATAATGATTTTTTCATGCAAATATTTATTGTACCAAAAGGAAAAAAAAAGTTTGTTACATGTTCTCAGTTGTATGCGAAAACCGACCCATACCTGCCTTAACAGTTCTCAACAGAAACTGTAGCAGTTGTGCTTTTGTTGTATCAGTTTAAAAAATCTGTCAGAAAGAGAAAGGAAAGGTAACATTCAGTCTTGTCATGAACACTGCTTGAAAAAAGGACAACTTTTAGCACTGCTTTGACATGAACTCATTGACCAATTGTTTTGTGGTCCTCCTTTGTATTCACAGTGGCCTGCAGTAAAAGACCCTACAAACTCACTCTGAAGTGTGGGAGTACCCCACATTCTGTACCATAGATAACTATAGTACATAATAAGTTACTATTTGATCCTACTGATAATTCTAGCTGTAAAATACTGGCTTTAAGTGTACCTTACACTATTATCTTTCAAATTATAATTAGAGCATAGCAAGATAATTGCAGTGATAGAAAACATATTTCTTTACTGGTGAAAAGGCTTGCTTCAGGACCACCATGTCAACTGCTATTTTAAGTTCAAACATAAAACATGTGAAGAGCACTATTGTCATCTAAGCAATAAGTCCTAATGCCACTGTAGTTACTGTAGCAGCATCAATCAAGGCATCATGGTGACCCCGAGCACTAATCCTCCCCAATTCCTTCAGTTTTGCTGGCAGCCGTGTCTCAGGAAGCTGTCTTCAGCAAGGCAGAAGCAGGTAAGAGAAATACATTAAAAGTCTATATCCCATCCTGAGTTGTCATCAGGTGGCGGTTCATCATTGTCCTCAGGGAAACTGTCGAAATTGCTTGTGTCTGTCGGAGATGCAACCTATCAAATGAACAGTTAATGTGTTTACATCAGTTGCTTTTGATTTTAACAAAATCTTTGTTTAGGGACCTTTAGGAAGACCATTTTCCTATCTCAAAACAATGCTCTTTCAACATCATTCACTAAACTAACACATTTTATCTGTGGAAAAGCTCACTAGTTAAATATGACTAGTAAAAGCTCTCAAAGAAAAGGGAGAGCAAATATATTTGTACCTTGGCAATATTGTCATCTAAAAGCTACCACTGCTAGGGTATTTATTTAGGTTTTTTTAGAAATGTATAACAAAAATTAAAAAGTGACTATGCTGATATCTGGTTTCAGAGTAACAGCCGTGTGTTCGCAAAAAGAAAAGGAGTACTTGTGGCACCTTAGCGACTAACCAATGTATTTGAGCATAAGCTTTCGTGAGCTACAACTCAATTCATCGGATGCTTAGGCTTATGCTCAAATAAATTGGTTAGTCTCTAAGGTGCCACAAGTACTCCTTTTCTTTATGCTGATGTCTATGTGCATTTGATGTAATTAAAAAACTATGGTGGTGCAAAAAAATCCAGTGGTTTCCTCAGATGAAGAAAATAACCAAAGATGTAAGATCAAATAAGACCCCCAGAGTACTCCACACCCATAAAAACAAAGCATATCAACAGTGTCCAACCACTCCCACAAATACCAGTTATTATCATTCTCCTCCCATACAAAAAATCTAGTGTAAAAAGATGAACCTTGCAGCATGCTCTGTATGCCAACAGACAGGCCAATTTTAAACCACAGAGGGGGTGAATTATAAAGGTCAGGGCCCACCAAAGAAGTTCACAATGACAGCTCCCCTTCTTTTATAGGAAAGGAGAGCCATTTTAACTAGCTCAACTGATGCAGTTGAGGTGGTATGGCATAGGGAGAGGGGTTGTCTCTCAATAGGGCAGGTTCCAAGCTATTTCTAAAGCAAAGCCAATACTTGTACTCTGCTTGGAAAATAAGAGGTAGCCAATACAGATCCCAAGGCACTGTGCTCCCAAAAGATTGCGTGCTAAGCAGACTACCACATTTTGCACCAACATCAATTTCCAGGTTGATTTAAAGTTAGGGTTGCCAGCCCTCCAGGATTGGCCTGGAGTTTCCAGGAATTAAAGATTAATTTTTAATTAAAGATTATCTCATGCGAAGAAATCTCCAGGAATACGTAGCATCTGGAGGGTGCATTGCCACAATCTAAGGGCTACAACATAAGGGATATAATTGAGTTCTGGATGGCATAATGTCCTCTTGAAGGAGGCTGTTATTGGATGGCACACAGACATCTTAACTGGATGAAAGGGTTCAACCCAAAATTAATAAGTGCCCCTCATTTGCATCAATACTTATTAGCTCCTTAATATATTTTGGAAGGAATTATGATCCTTAAAAAATATATGTCTGACTCTTCTGAAAAATATGTGAACAGTTTAATTGAAGACAGTGGAATGCATTGTTTTACAGTACGGTAAAATTTTTTGTTAGCAACCGTCTTTCATAGGGGACTGCCTGCGATAAGTGATGAACACAACAAGCCCCGTCATCGAGCATCATATCGACAGTGAGCTCCCTTGCAGTGCAACTAGTAACTGTTAAAGACACATTGTCAAGTCAGATTTAGCACAAATATATATATACATTTTATATAAGCAAATATTTACAAAACTGTAGAAATGTTTCTATTAAATTAAAAATCCAATAGAAACATTTTTAAACACAAACACTTCCTGGTGTTTCCACCTAAACTTTGCAGCATTCTGCTAGTAGTGCACATAAGCCCAAATATGAAATAAATAGATATTGACAAACAAGTGAAATTGACCAGTTTGTTTTCATTGGCCATACTGAGAGAAAGTTAACAAACAGAATGAACAGCAGATTTTTTAAAAAAGAAGAATCAGTTTTAATATCTGTTACTGTCTTTAAGAAGTAAATAAATAGAATACAGGCTTTAACAGGGTTCAAAAAAGAACTAGATAAATTCATGGAGGATAGGTCCATCAGTGGCTGTTAGCCAGGATGGGCAGGGATGGTGTCCCTAGCCTCTGTTTGCCAGAAGCTGGGAATGGGCAACAGGACATGGATCACTTGATGATTACCTGTTCTGTTCATTCCCTCTGGGCACCTGGCATTGGCCATGTCGGAAAACAGGATACTGGGCGAGATGGACCTTTGGTCTGACCCAGTATGGCCGTTCTTATGTCCACAAATATTATTTTAAACATTACTGGCAGTGCCCCTTACTCTGAACCTTTTTTGGGGGGTACAGACTCCTTTCAGTCACTGAGTGACTGCATCTTCCCCATCTCATACAGAGAGGGGAGGGCACAGGATTCTTCTGCTCTGTCACAGTTAAGAGAAGGAACAACTTGGCACTGAAGTAGGGTCATACAGCCTTGTACAATGATCATGACATCTGCTGATGTATCTGTGCTGCCCATCTCTGTGGGTGAAGTGAGTAGCAAAGTGCAATTAAATAAGATTGTTAAATTTCACTCTGATGCTGATGTTGCTGAAGATGGAGAATGGGAAAAGGATTAAATTGACTATTCAGTTTCCCTTCAGGCTCTGTGGGTAAAGAGCTCCCAGAAAGGCATCAGCCTAAGAGCTCTGCTGTAAAACAAAACTAACTTGTATTGTAGCCTGTTTTCTCTCGAGTCCTTTCCCAGTTAACTGTAACTGACTTGTCTACAAGTTCTTTACATAGTATATGATGGCTGAAAAAAGGAGAAGAGGCACAAAGAGGGATGGAAGGGGAAATAGTGCATAGAGGAAAGCCCAAAAGAAGAGAAGAGCAAAAAGAAAGAAAAAAAGACAGAACAGAGAGAAAAAAGATAGGAAATATTGAGAGATCAAAAACCCTGTGGTGCAGAAGGAGAAGAGGCAAAGAGAAAGAAGAACTCATTTAGTGACAGGCTCACCCCACTTCAGCTGCTGGAAAGAACATTTAATCACAGGGCCTCCCGATGAAGACTCAGCCACAAGACAAAATGTATTTGACATTAATAAAAGAAAACCTGTCATAAGTGATCTATTTTTTACTGGTCTTTGGTAAGTATCTTCAGACAAGTTTCGCTGCGTGCTACTATTACCTTTACTAAGGTATAGGTATACTGGAACTTTACACAAATGACACAGAGGAAACCATTCCTGATTGACTGGCAAGACAAAAGTAAGAAGTGTACTTACACTTGGTACTATAGGAGGTGTCAATGTACCTTTTCTTAACCCTTCCCAGTTAAAGCCCTCAAACCATCTAGAAAGGGGATAATGTTAGGACAAATCAAGATGTTAGATATACAGCTCAAATATCACTGTAACACACATAACATGATTCAAATAGCTTAAAACAGATTTTTAATTCCGACATGCAGTTTCTTCAGATCATCTGATTTATAGTCATCATAATTTTTCTGTTGATTTTATGAAATACATTTTTGAAGTTTTTCTTTATGCAAACCAAAATATGCACAGAAATCTCATGGTGAGGTAAAGGGTGGCGTAAGTTACACATGATTTGAAAAGTGCACTAGTGTGACCTAGCCAGTCTTCACTACAGGTGTCCTGACAGCTTCTTCTTACCTCCTGCAGCGTCTTTGTGGGTCCCACACTCCCAAAGTTCTTTATTCAGATCCTCTGAGCCAGACTGTAGCTCAGGCTGCAGGCCTGCACAGATTATAAGGGAAAGTAGCACAGCACTGTCCCCATGCCTTTGTGTTCCCTCCACAGACCTTAGATCAGGTTGCATAGGAGTAAGGGGTTGCTCAAACAGTTAAGCAGAGAGTGGGTAGAGTCATGGCTCCACCACCCAAAATAGTGGCCAGCACAGCTAAACTGATTGGGGATGAGGTGGGGGAGAACTGTCTACGGGGCTACCCACTTGGAGCAAGGAGGAAGCAGTGAAGGACTCATACCACTTTCACAGGGCAGAGTGGAAAGGCAAATTTTTTCCTTCCAATAGATGCTGGCACTCCATGCTCTGTTTTACCTGCTATTGATATGTCAAGCAGAGTGGAGACTGCGCCCATGACTGAACTACTGAGACCAAGAAAAGCAAGTGAAATATCAGTCAGAGGCTCTATACTATCAGTGCCAATGGAATAGGATCAACAGGAACTATAGGCTCAACCACAGGGGCATAGGCACAGTTTAAAAGCAAAAGATGACTTTGGAAACTGGTGGCATATACAAGGGGGTTAAAAATAAACTGATGGTGACTTAATTTTCCATATTGCAAAATGCCATTTGGATGCAAATTTAAGGAAAAAAGCTCATTCACTTAACATACTACCCTATTTGCCATGTAAGGAAGGCTAGAATAGACTCCAAAATATGAAAAGACTGCTGACATAATGTAAAATAACCTAACATCCAAAGAACCAGTTAGAAGAGAAATGTTTTCAGAAGTGTTTTGTGTCTGAAATGAACAATTTTTCCATATGAAAGCAATTAATTGATAGTTGTGAAACACACTTACTTGTGCTTTTGGATATCTTTTACTCCATTTTTCAAGTTCCCTAACCTTTCTGATGGATTGTCCCTATAAAGAGAGTGACAAAGTTGTTTAATAATGTTTTTTCAGAAAGATATATTTCTTTACTCATAAGATAAAGGTTATTGTATTTAAAGTATTTACCTGCATAGTTTTTTAATTAAATTAGCAGCATTTTTGGCAATCTTCTTTGGAAATTCAATCATGTCAATCCCCCTTAATATGATGTTATAGGTCTTCATGGGATCTGGGCCTGAGAAAGGTGGACTTTAGGAAGTGGGAAGAGGGTGGAAAGTGAAAGTTAAAGGTCTGTCTTTAAATCTCATACCATCCTATTATACAACAAATCAGAGGAGATAAATTACAAAAGTAATAATATTTCTTATCCTGTGCTCTCAGGAATATTGAAAGGCTGGACCATTAACATTTTATTTTATATCCTTTAGGAAGTTCTCCAGGATGTTCCCTTTCATCTCCAAAGTCCATGCCATGGTAATCCCTTCTATGGCCAAAGAGTTCTGGGTGTGGTTTTGTCTGGACTTCATCAACGTTGCTCCAAGGGTTGGCAGGAGAGGGAATTAAAGAGCAATTAAAGGCAGTCCTTCTTCCATGTGGGCTAAACATCCTATTTCAGCCGTGATCCCATGTCCTGCCAGCCTAAGAAGCAAGGGGCTGGACTCAGTCCTGATCTCAGGTCCCCTGTTTCCTGACTTACTTTTGTACTACACTTATTATATAATCACTTTTCAAATGGCACTGGATAGAGGATGGAATAAATACTCTCATTTAAAAGCACAAAGACATGTCAGAGTACAGTGATAGGTGAACAAAATGCCCTTAAATGTGGATGGTATAGGTTGTTCACTTTGGGCTAGATTGTGACTTGGACTACAAACCCATAAAAGAGAGTAAGAAATCCCCTCTTACACCTTAAGGCAGGTTACCCAGGTCTTGGGGTCAGATGCATAGGAGTAAGTGGGATTAACTCACTTGCTTTCTCCCTACCAGAAGCAAGTGGAGAAGGGGTGAGAAAAAGTTAGACGCCTTGCTCAATGGCCAGAATAGCTGAGCCAGAACAGAGTGAGGAGTAATTTACTGCTGGCTTATTACCCCCAAGAACAAGAAAGAGGCAAGGAAAGAGCTGTGACTCCATGCTGAGTTTCTCTGAATGACAATATTTTCCAAGGTTAGTGTAGTTTACGTACCACGTAGGGCTATGCCTAAAGTCACAATCTAGCCCTGTCTCATGGGGGAAATTCATCCAACACCAGTGGCAGATTCAGACCCATCTTGACAGTTAAATTTTCACTATCCTACAGAAAAAAAGCATTTTGTAGAGCTAGCAAACTGAAGTGTTGTACAATCTAAATTCTCAAAGAGTCTTTTCTAACTTATTTGCACATCTTTAGACCATGAGGTCCTCTATGCACGATAAATTTGGACAAGTAGCAATATAACAAACAATATCCATCCTCTTTGGGAACGTTATGAAGAAAAGGGCATAATGAAGCTGTTGTGTATTTTTGATAAATGTAACAAAGCTATGCTGGGGACAGTCCAGGGCCCTATGATCCTTGGTGTCTTTCTCTGTAGCTGGGGAGGCTGGGTGTACGGCCAGTGTGTTTGTCACTGTGTGGATCATTGCATAGGAGGTGCACATGGGCAGTAGATAGTACTACAGCTCCTGAGGATGAGAAGATGCTGCTCCTTCCAATTAATTTTGAAGTTACATTAAACAGCCTTCAAAGAAATATATGGGACTAGTATTTTCAGTAGCAAGACCTTGAATAATGAGACATTGTACAGAAGTTTCTGTACCTTCAGCAAGAAGTAGTTATAAGACTAAATGCATGTATTCCTCTGATGCACAGTCATCTAGGGATATTTAAAATACTTAAAATATTTAAAAATTGTTTGTAAACATGTAATACTGTGAAATACTATGTTGTTCTGCATAGATTTTTAAGTTATTGTATATTTAAGATGGAAGTATTTTTTATAAGATATGTGTAATGTAAGAAAATATCAATTTAAAAATGCATATGTTCTGTACAGAAGTTCAATGGCCAAAAGTAAGATTCAAATTTGTTATATTTCTTTGAATTTAAAGTTTTACAAGAGTATTGAGGGTAGACCTGATAGATATATTCCCAATAACGGATGGTCTAGTTAAGATGAAACAGTCACTAGCTGCTTCTTGTCTGTAATGCTACATCTAGAGCATTGAAAAATGACAGGTAACAAAATTTAGAACTGACACAGAAATATATGTTTACATAAAGTATATGTGAAGTTCAGTTTCAAAATTGGTTCAAATTTTAAAGGGATCTACACTGGTGGACAAATAACGGGAACATTGTTATCCTTTAGCATAGTTATCTGTGTTAAAGGGTACCCTTAATGTGTGTGTAAGAACACTATATAGGCTAGTGGGGATTTAACACACAGGCTGAGGGTGGTATGTCTTTCTAAGATACTATATTAGTTCAAAACTGGTGCCATGGGAAAGTGATCTTCATGCTTCCTGCATATCAGGAGTATTTTCCAACCCCATTGGCCATGTATAAGGCTAAAATTTTGTCACGGAAGTCACAGAATCTGTGACTTCCAAAGATCTCCATAACTTCAGCCTGCGGCAGCTGGGAACTGCAGGGTCCTGGTGCCCTCTCTGACTTCAGCCAGAGGCAGAGGAGGCTCCCCGAGCTGCCGCGGGCAATGGGAGAACCCCACAGCTCCCAGCCACCACAGGCGACGGGGACCCCATAATTTCCAGCTGTCGTGGGCAGCAGGAGGACCCCCCGCAGCTCCCGGCTGCCACGGGCGGTAAAGGGTACCCTGCAGCTCCCAGCTGTCTTGGGTGGCGGGGACGCTCCGAGCCGCTGCGGGGGGATTCTGCAGCTCCTGGCTTGGCCCTCTTGCAGGTCCCAGCCACTGCAAGTGGTGCTCTGAGCCCCCATGGGTGGGGGCCCGAGAAGAGCTCCCAGCCAGCCCCACAGCTACCCAGCAGCTCCCCATTTTGTCATGGATATTTTTAGTAAAAGTCAGGAACAGGTCAAGGGCAATCAAGAAAAATTTACGGAAGCCCATGATCTGTCCCTGACTTTTACTAAAAATATCCATGACAAAATCTTAGCCTTAGCCATGTACAACTTTGTTTTTACCTCCTGCTGAAGCCAAATGATATAAGCCACTACCAGGAAATCAGAGTTAATGGATCATTATGACAAATGCTATGTGCCTGCAGTATGTGCATTAAATGAATTTAAACATACAGATGATGCCATTTTTATACTATGATAATAAAATCCACATGATATTTGTGGGTTTTTGACAAAATCTATGTATAATTATTAACAGCATATACAACATTTAACAGAGAATTTGATTAAATTATAAATAGGCTTGGAAGGATTCAAATTTTATTGATAAATACAGGTAAACTTCGATTTCACTATGCACACATAAGACAATGAAAAATATTTCCATTGATAATCTAAATCTGTAGATAGGCAAAGCAAGAAAAATGCTGCTTGAGAACTTAGTTTGAGTTAAGAAATTTACTGTTGTCTATTTTGACATTTGATGTTGACCATTTGTATTTTAACTGTTATAAAGCTTTAACTTTTTGAATCTCAAAATCAATTGTCATTTAATAATTACTGCTGATTCTCCTATTATCTGACCCCCATTACTTCCCGCAACTGTGAAAATTTAAATGGATAAAAATAGAAAACATTCTTAAAATAAATATTGAAATTATTAAAAAAGAACTGAATTATAGGTAACTGGACTATGTTTTATGGTAACATTAAAAAATAAATTATTCAATAGGATGTTTGCTCTGTAGAGTTTGTTCTGATTGTATAATTTATTTCCGACATCCATTCACAGATCTCTGAAAAGATGCAGGGTTTTTTTTTAGCAACAAGTGCTGATGGGGTGTATTTTCACTTCTGAGTGCCCATAGGGATTAGAAGTTGAACTGTTTAAAGTGGAGTCTGGGTATGCCTTTTTAATTATTTATAGTATTTATTATTTAATTATTTATATTATTTATACTTTTAATGAAAACTTAAATTTGACCTTTTGTCATAGTTCAGGGACTTTACTATGCAGAATCTGTGATAGTAATACTGACTTTGTACCTAGCTTGTTGAGTCTGTTCTGCATCTTCTATCCCAAATGTGATTCATTGCTGGTGTTTTTAATAAGTTCCTTTAGGGAACTCTATGTAAATGGAAACATTCTAATAAATTTCTGAATCATGGAAATAGTAGTAACCTTTTATGTATAAAACAGATACTAAAGTAAACATTTTAAAAATTGTTCAAATGATTCTGTAGAATACACTAGATAACTATAACTGGGCTACTTACCTGCTTGAGACTCTCATTTGAAAAAGCTGCATTATTTCAATGTTAATGGCTCAACTCTCCCCTTATTCAATATGTGTAACTCCTATTGACAGTGGTAGGCAAAGGAGGAGGAGTTTATGACCCCACACAATATGAAATATTATAGCTTGTGTATTATAACTTTTCTGGACGTTGCTGTCCTTCATGCCACCAATGAGCTGTTCTCAGCGAGGAATGGAAGTAACATTAGCTGTTGACTTAGAATAGCTAAGAAACACAAATTGATGGGCATGCCTGTGTCCTGGCCCACAGGAGGAAGTTAACTTTAAGGGATAGGATGAGACAGGGTCATGTTCCTGTTCCCCTCCTGCAGAGCTGGCAGGATGCCTATTGGAGAGCCTGGTGTATTCTCCCTTGTCTGCCACTGGCATATATCTCGAACCTCATCCTGAACAACTAAGGAGCATCACTGAACCATAGATTGCTCTTGATGATTTGATGCCTCAGTGCGAACACACTCAGTTCCCTTGACATTGCTGCCTTGTGTGCTGGAGAGCTGAGAGCTGAGGCAGCAGTGCCAGGGAAGCCCTTCAAGCACTGATGCCTTGAGAAATGCTTAATGAGTACAGGCAAGAGCAGCGTCTAAGGGTCATGAGGTGATAGCATTCATGTGTCATTTTGTTGTAAATTTTTGGCTATAATAGGAAAAAACTGAAGATGCTGTACCACATTATGTTTGCCTACTCTTTCAGATGCTGCTAGCTTCCACTGCCCTAATGTCTCACTGGCTGAATTGCAAACCTCTCTCCTCAGTCCCCCACCCACCAGCAAATTCAGCTCCACCTTTTTCATTAGGAATTCTCGGGGAAAATGAGGGTAGAGTATAGCCATGATTTTGGTATCATTTTACATGTGTTTCATAATAAAGTTGTAAACTGCCTAGTGACAAAATTCCTTGTAATTTGAGAGCTCTTAATAATGATTAGGTTTAACTGTAAAGTTTTCAGATTGTTGTAGGTCATCATCACAGATGCCAGCTCTGAGTCTTCCACTGTTCTAATCAAAGTGACAAAGGCAGAAATATTCTGTAATTTGCTGATCTATTTTTATCAGCAGTTCCAGTTCCAATGCCCATACCTGCCAGTCAAGAGTTCATACATTAAGATTCCCAGTGACCAGTAGTCTGCTGAAATGTCATGACCTTTGTTCAGGATGATCTCTGGGGCTACATACTCTGGAGTTCCACAAAAAGTCCATGTTTTTTTTCCAAATCCTATTTTCTTTGCAAAGCCAAAATCAACCTGTGAAAGGAAAGGAATTCCATCAATGCAGAAAAATAAAGGACGTTTCAGTGATGTGTTCTGTTCTTCTTAGAGTGAAGCAAAGCAGAAATAAAGGTTTCCTCATGGGAATATTATCATAAACCAGAGCTTGCTAGGTTGTTAAAAAATAAAATACAACCACCGTGTGACATTTTTCCTGAGTTAGCATTCATAGTGTAAACTCAAGTGCTTTTTTTGAGGTAAGAAGAGAGAGTGACAATGAACCAAACATCTCTTGGTAGTTAGTGGTTACTAGATCTGTTCTAATAAATTCATGCATCAATGTCTGCCCTGTTCAAGTGATGTTGGACATTTGCACATGGCTCTCATTTTTTTCCCTCTTTTAATACCAAACTCCTGTCTGAGTAATGAACTATTCATGTCAGTTTATTAGGGCCAGATCAAAGGATAGGCACCAGTTCAGAGCAGCGTGAACAGGCCCTGACCTGCAGGCTGTGCTTGCTCTCCTCTTCCTATGGTAACTCATGCCATCTGAACAGTTCCCAAGAACTACAATTTAGGCAGAGCAAACAATGACAAAAAATAATCTCAGTTGGCCACATTTTTTCCCCTTGATTAGCACATGGAACCACATCAATTGGGATTTGATCAGGGGCTGCCAGTGGAACAAAGTTCTATGCTTTGAAAATGACAGTATCCAGGGAGACCCTCAGGTTTCACTTTCACTTAATAGAAAGAGTGGTACAGTAAAACAATTTGTCACCCAGCTAAGGAGATGGCACTGTACTTCAGTTATTCTGGGTTTTTAATAACAACCCACAGAGTGTCACTGCAGCAGAGCATAAATGCTAGAGAGCAGCCCCAGCAACTGTTATAATTTAGACCAGGGACCAAAATGGCATACAGCCACCTGTTGCATCCCAAATTCTGCCAAGCTAAACTCAGAATTGGGCCTTTGTGCTTTTAACTGCTTCTCAGCACTTAGAGAATTTTGATAGGTACAGCTGGAGATAAATCTAAATAAATTAACAAATATAAGCAGACTAGAATCCATCCTTTTGTATTACTGGGTTGAATGATGGGTGCTGAGCAACAACTGCCTATGGAGAGCTCCATTTACAGCTATGAGGTTTTCTCTGTAAATCTGTCCTTTGTGAGCATCTTTCTGTACACATCTATTCCACCCCCTGACACAACCCATTTAACTCTTAGCTACACCTCTGGCATGCTATCTGTGGCATGGAGATACAGCATTGGGAGAATGGCTCTGCACCACTTGGGAATATCCCTGATTTATGCTGGAATCCTCAGAAGGGAATTTTCCAGCTTAATGCCAGAGCTGGTTTACGGAGGCCATGGTGAAACTCAGAATCAGGGCCACAACATTTAACCGAAAACACACCAAAAGACAGTAAAAACAATCCCATAACACCATAGCTCTTAAATTTTCTGGTACACTCAGAACAAGCTCCACTTAATAAATCCCCTTCCCTGGAAAAAGCCCAGGAAAATAGGTGAGACTTGCAGTGTATTAAGAAGATCACCAAGTCCAGACACAGTTGGATGAAGGACATTAATTTCTAATTTAAGGACCCCATCTGAGGGTCTGCCATCTGTCCCTTCCTATTTACACGAGGGTGTTCAAGCAACTCCAGTGATTGCTACTGCCACAGTATCAGATTGGGAGTCAGATGCTCTCTCAGGTTGTCAGGACAAAATTATTTATGGTTCTAGCTGAAAACTAACATGTTAAATTTCACCAGAAAAATCATTCTGTAGCCCATGTGGATGGTGAAGTGTAAGTACAATGTACTCTTACAAAGTAGGTTGCTGCTTTCTGCCCTGACTGCAATGTCTGAATATTTTGAAGCTATAGCTCCATGTTGAGAGCTCTGGATAATCCAGTAATGTAGTGACAAAGGCATGGATGGTAAAGAAATAAAAGAATGCCACCTTCTTATTGACCATATATAGAAATATAGACATATTTTCTGGAGATTTCTAGTGGAAAGTGTTTGCTTCACAATTTGAAAAAGTGGCTGACAATATGATATAAAGATTGAAACCACAAACGGAGGGCATGACTGCAAGCTAGAGATCACTTTTCAATAAACTAAAAACTCCATTTATACTGCATTTTAAAATGGTTGTCAAAAGATGTGGAACTTTAGCTGCCAACTACTGAAACTTCTCTGTTTGAACTCATGAGGTCCTATGACTCGCTGAGCCAACAGGAGAGCTCTAGCACTAATTCAGCAAATATCTTGGATAAACAAGTGAAAAATCTCCTCCTCCCCAGTTGCCTTCCCTCAAAGTCACTTTAAAATTTAGGGTTCACAAAATGTTTCTGGACAAGAGTGTGGGGATGGAAAGCCCAAGGTTAAGTGAATTGCCTATGTCTAGTTTTGCAAACATTTTGTGTTCCTGGATGATGTTTGTTTGGTTGGCCTACAACCTGAACCTACCCTTATTTTAATAGATTCAGGGTGAATATTTTAGTCATGCTACTATGCAGGTGTTTGCATATTGTGTTCTTGCTTCAAATCAATAATTTCTGACTAAAAGAAAAGACTTTTAAAGTACCGTACATATAAATACTCTCTGCAGCATTTTATTCTTACACTTTGCCTGGGTAGGGATTAAGGTGTGTGTGTGTGTGTGTGTGTGGTGGGGTGGAGAAGCATAAATGAGGAAGGAAAGGTTTTCTGGACCCTCATTCTTCTAGCAAGTTGTCCATGAAGGGACATAATTCAGTCCTTAATATTTAGTAGTCATGTGCACATGTCTAATGGCAGATACTTTTCAGAGAGCCAGTCAGACCTTTACAGCCCCAGCTTCCGCTTTTGCAGGGGCAAATAATGATATTTGACTATTTAATTTCCTGGTTTGCAGGTGAAATCAGGTAATTAAAATGTCTAAATGGCTATTATTTATGCCCACTAACTAAATAGTGAGCACAAATCTGGGTTACCTTTCCCCTGCCTGTTAGTTGCCCAACATTGTTAAGCAAATCTAAATGAAACCTAATATACATTGCTACATTTTGACTACCTAGAATTTCTCTAATGTCCAATGTAAAGATTTCAAAAAGGGAGTAACAAGATCAGGTAACGCAGATATGTAAAAACTCTGACTAAAAGAGTTAGCAGATCAAGGGACGTGATCGTTCCCCTCTATTCGACATTGGTGAGGCCTCATCTGGAGTACTGTGTCCAGTTTTGGGCCCCACACTTCAAGAAGGATGTGGATAAATTGGAGAGAGTCCAGCGAAGGGCAACAAAAATGATTAGGGGACTGGAACACATGAGTTATGAGGAGAGGCTGAGGGAGCTGGGATTGTTTAGCCTGCAGAAGAGAAGAATGAGGGGGGATTTGATAGCTGCTTTCAACTACCTAAAAGGGGGTTCCAAAGAGGATGGCTCTAGACTGTTCTCAATTGTAGCAGATGACAGAACGAGGAGTAATGGTCTCAAGTTGCAGTGGGGGAGGTTTAGATTGGATATTAGGAAAAACTTTTTCACTAAGAGGGTGGTGAAACACTGGAATGCGTTACCTAGGGAGGTGGTAGAATCTCCTTCCTTAGAGGTTTTTAAGGTCAGGCTTGACAAAGCCCTGGCTGGGATGATTTAACTGGGAATTGGTCCTGCTTTGAGCAGGGGGTTGGACTAGATGACCTTCTGGGGTCCCTTCCAACCCTGATATTCTATGATTCTATGATTCTGGCAGCAGTGATGTTGTTTTACCTGTCTCTCAGATTACTTAGGGCCTGATCCTGCAATCACTTTTAAACATGCTTAACATTAGGCATGTGAGTGGCTATACGAAATTCAAAGCAACAGTCGAAGGGTATTACTTGAAATCAAGTGAATACTCCTGTGCCTCAAGCTAAGCGCATGCATAAGTGCTTGTAGGATTGAGGCCTTCATCTAGAAGTTTAGGCTTAAAAAATAACTAAATAGAAAAAGCCTCTTAATACAGCAACATTCTGTATTAGCTACACTTTAGCAGGACAAGCCTGAGGATTTAAAACAATTAATGAGAGTAATCATTTCTTGAAATAACAAAATGTGATTAATATGTCCATAAAACAAATAATTATTTTTTTTTAAACAAGCAAAGCAACTGGTTCACATCAGGATTTGGCACCAGTAGGCTGTAAAGCGATTCATGAGTGTCAGCCAAATAAAATATTGAAACATCTATTGTAAACTTCTATTTTTGCTCCTGTATGCATCAAAATGGTTAGAAGGATTTTTCCTAGTTCTCTTCTCTAAATAATTTGCTCTGGGACTGCAACTCTGAATGCTAAGTTTCAGCCAGAAGTACTATTTTGTGGGTGAGTTATAAACTCCTTAGAGTAGGACTTTCTGATGGAAAAGGCGATGGAGACTTAACTCTAGTGTAGTAAACATGGCACTGTAGTATTTTTTTGCTGCACAGAAAAAAAGACATTGTAAGCACTCACCAGTTTGGCATAACCTCGGTGATCTAGAATAAGGTTTTCTGGCTTGAGGTCCCTATAAATTATTCCTTTGGAATGCAGATAGGCAAAAGCTTCCACCACACATGCTGTATAAAATCTGGTCGTAGAATCTTCAAATGAACCTCTATATAAAAGACAATGGGAAAAGATCTGGTGGCCATTCAAAATATTTGCATTTAATGTTGTATATTTGGTTGTACCATTACTGCATGTCACTATGATTACAGCAATGAAATAAAGTTTAACAAGAATTAATCTCTGCTATGCATGTAGGGAAGCAAGACCACATAGATTTACTACTCTAGATTTTAAGGCCTCAACCTTGCAAGATGCTAAGTGTTCTGGCCCATTCCAACAAAGTTCTTAAACAGATGCATAGTCCCACTTACTTCACCTTGAAGGATCAAGCCCTAAAACATAATTATAGTTCAAAACAATTTCGCTATGAAACCATATTTTTCAAAAAGTTTTGTCTGTAACTACGTCAAGGACTTGTGGCATCAAGACAGTACGTTTCACATATTTTATGATCTTAGTCTAGCCACTCCTTAGCTGCCAGAAGGAAACATACTGTGAAATAGCTGTATAGATATGATACAATCATGTTTCTCTGTTTGTCTATCTAATTTGTTGAAAGGCAAGTTTATAGCTTTGAGATAAATAAGGAAAGCTTCTTAGTTCAAGTTGCGCTTATGTTTTATTCAGGTGGGAAAGAGAAGATACTGGTATCTCAAATTGATCAGAGGAATAGCTACTATCCAGTTATAGGTTAGCTATTTACTATTTAGCTGCCAAACTAGTCTTCTATATTTATAATTAGGGAGACTAGGGTTGCCAACCCTCCAGGATTGGCCTGGAGTCTCCCGGAATTGGCATTGATCTCCCGGTGACTATTGAAAGCAACCCAGGAGATTTTAATAGGATATTTTAAGAAAATGACATTATGTCACCTTGGGGAAAAAAATCTCCCAGAATAGCTTAAGTCAGAGTTAGCAACCCTAAGGGAGACCCACTTACTTCCTCCTACTAATGGACTCTTCAACAGCCAGTCCGATCTACTCACTTTCCTTGATGTAATCAATACAATATATACACAGTTTGGAAGCCCTCTGTTAATTGGAAAATAGCCATTAGCAAACTCATTTCTGTTTAGTTTCCACTCATGAGGTTAGCATTTTACTCACTAGTTGAATTCACATGAAGCATTGTTTTAAACCAAAGTTCCAAACTTAACAAAATATTAAGTTACATTAGACACAACTATGAAATAAATATGAAGTCATAACAAAAAAGAAGAATATGTAATTCAAAGAAAAAATTGTATCATACATCTTTCATATGTACTTAATATATAAGTTTTGAACTAGAACTATTAAAATGGATCAAAGAGTAATGTTAGATACTGTTCATGACTGAGACAAAAATAAAAAGCTATTACTTGGAATTTGAAGCGTTAATTTCAAATTTAGCATAAAATGCATTAGCAGTCTTATTTTATTACCAGTTTGGAAACTATTTAAAGAAGTGAATCACTTCCCAATCTTTCGGAATTAATTTATAGTTACTTGAAATCATAATTAGTTTTTGACAGCAGAATTGTTTGAGTTCTCCTAACTGAAACTAAAATAAATGTGCTTCTAAGCTAGATGGCAGTAGAAACCACAATTCAAAGAGCAAAAGAATGAAAGAATGTATCAGACTTTTGAAAAAAATTAAAAAAGAATAAATCCAGACACCTGTTAGCTTTGGAGTTGTAATGCTTTTTAAATATATTGAAGGCAAGCAGATTTTTAAAAGAAGAAGAATATATAAAAAAATAAAAGTAACGTCTTAGAGATAATTAAAATATCAGTTTTATATTTGTTTTCAGCTCCATTTTCCTTTAATGTTTGAATTGCCTGTTTACTCTGAGAACAACATTCAATTTACAAATGTAATCATATCTATTACATTTCTAATTGTGTACATATATTTATAGAGTGTTTGTGTAGAGTTTATCACATGGTTATCTCCCCTCATATGAACGTAATATATATATTACACCCAAAAAGCTAAGATAAAAGAATGTTATTAAGGTTACAAAGTCAAGCAACCAAAAGTTGGGAAATGCCAGAATTAAAGTTGCCTGAGCACCTTGTGTTCTCCTCATTGTTCATTGGCCCATGCCTTATTGGCTACACAGTATTCAAATTCTGATCTGATGACAGAATTATTAATTCCCCCATGGGCTTTTTTATGGCACTCATCACTATGTGTCTGAGGTGCTTCAAAAATATTTAGGAATTTATCTTTTTAAAACCCCTGTGGAGTAAGGGGCTATTATCCCCATTCTATTTAATATCCCCATATTATCCCCAGATGAGGAACTGAGACACAGATGGAGGGAGCCACAAAGGCTATATCTACACGTCAGTTAAACTCCTGCAGCTGGCCCTTGTAAGCTGACTTGGGCTTGCGGGGCTTTGACCACGGAGCTGTAAAATTGCGGTGTAGATGTTCGCTTGGGCTGGAGTCTGGGCTCTGGGACCCTCTGACAGGGTCCCAGAGCTCAGGCTGCAGCCCAATCCCAAACACCTACACTTCAGTTAAATAGCCCTTTAGCCCGAACCCCATGAGCCCGAGTCAGCTGGCACAGGCCAGCCACAAGTTTTTAATTGCAGTGTACACATATCCCTAAAGGGAGGCAGCAACACACATCATCAAAGGCTGAAATACAGGCGGCACATAGGGAACTTTTACTCTGAAAACTTAGGTGCTGAGTGAGTTTAGGTGACTATGGGGTTCAGCAGGAGTTTTGTGAATCACGGTGGAGCCAAAACTGGGACTTAGGTACCTCAACCCGACTAAGTCTCAGGTTTAGGTGCCTAAGTAGCTTTGTGGATTTGGGCCAGACACACTAATGTTAAAAGTATCCAATAACTTTGATTAGGGAAGTCATCTGTAAGGTGAGAGATCCAATTTCAAATTCCAGCTTCACATCAGGGAAGGGAAATTGAACCCAGGTCTCCCCTAGGTGAGTGCGCTCACTGTTGGGCTAGTCTAAAGTTTATAAGGGAGGCTACTGCCTCCTTTTGCTTACTTCTTCCCTCTGTCTCCCTTACTCACTCCCCCTCCCAAAATATTTTGGATGAAAGTTCTGCATACACTCTTTGCAATTTAGGACACTATAAATCAGATCCTCTCCCCTGGTTCTGTTTCCTTTTTATGGTTCCTAAGAGACTCAGGCTAAGTGGAAGGGTCTGGAAGGGGGCATGGTAAGGTGGTAGAGGACAATCCTCAGCTGGTGGAGTGATCACTGTCCTAGTTAGTGTAATTTAGAGCAACCCTTAGGTTACTCCAAGTTATGACAGGCCACTTTAGTCACTGGTCATATCAAGGATGGGGTGGAGAGGGAAACAAGACTTTCTCCACGTTTTGTGTCCTATGCCAAGCACAGCTTGGTGAGATTTAGCGATCTTGCCTTTAATGTATGTTAGAGATTGTCTGCTAGGAATAAAGATATACAATATTACAGTTCATACTGACATATAATTTTCCTTTCCAGATAGGTTTCTAAAATTTCTTACCTGTCCCTGAGAATTGTCCAAAGCTCTCCACCTAGACAGGCTTCCATCAACATATATAAATACTTGCTGTCCTTGAATGTCCTGTATAGCCTATTATTTGCAAACAAGAAAATGCGATAAAAGTTAAAGCATTCTTTTTGTTAAAATATATTCCTGTGATACTTCACACTCCTTATTAACCATGATTATCATTTACTGTCTTAATTCTGTTGTATCATACTTGAAATGTTTCAGCAGAACAGATACAGTATTTTAGTGTTGAAGTGTATTATAAGAGGATGATGTTGCTACCTGGGAACTAAATTTAGGGCATGATATTTCTAACTACTTAGCCTGATGTTGCTGCTTTCCAAGATCACTTGAAAGAGAAGCAAGACAATATGTACACCATTTCTTATAACGAGTATATCATTTATCCTTCAAAGTAAGGAGTCAATCTATAGCCTTCCTTTCATTTAATAATTTCAAAAGAATGTGTCTTAATTTTGGTTCATGTAAGAATTTAACACAATTTGCTAATACATTTCATAGACCTTATAAAAATATCAAAAGATGCTTGTTTCATCATCCAGGATGATTGAATATGTGGGAAAATCTGCCTAATGAGATAGTTGGGGCAAGTAACATGTATTCAGCATGTACTGTATGTCAGGCTTGACCAAAATTCTATGAGAAAACATTCCCTACTACACATTTCTGCAACGTTCTTGTGAAGCAGACTGGAAATTGTGTACCAGCTTCAGATAAATTAAATACATTGAGTTTGTTTATTTAATTAAAGATGAAAATAATACAAAGAATTCTACATTGTTATATTATCTCATTTGATATTAAACTCAATTAATTTTACTCTGCCCATATATTTTTCATTTTAAAGGTGCTGAAGATCTTCGTACTGACAACATGAAGATGCATTGCAGAATCTTTCTGGGAGGAAGCTGTACATTTTGGCAGATGGGTAGAGGACCGTTGGAGTTTTTGGCTCCTTGGAAGTTAAGGTCTGGGAGACAGTTTGGGTTTGTTGTATAAGTACATTAGCTCCCAGTGTTGACATTTAAATCACTATCATTAGATTTCAGAGTTACCACAGCACTGAGGCGAACTATTCTCAGAGCTATTGTTATGTCTGTGAGAGTTATCATTTCAGGCTCTCTGAAAAAAGACGCATGCTATGCTATGTCTGTTTACACTCAGATCTCACATTTGGAAGGTTTTCTTTGCAACCACATCACATAGAACATTATTTTAAAAAATCTCAAAAGGTTAGATTCTGGAGCAAAATTCTTCAGCAATGAGTGGATTCTGTAGTATATTCTGTAATTGTGCAATTACACCTGTCAGGGTTCCCTCTCCACTGTCAGGGTTCCCTCCCCATTCTGAATTCTAGGGTATAGACTTGGGGACCCACATGAGAGACCCCCTAAGCTTATTTCTACCAGCTTAGGTTAAAAACCCCCCAAGGCACAAATTCTCCCTTGTACCTTGGATTAGGTAATGCTGCCACCACCAAGTGATGTAGACAAACTCAGGGAAAGGACCACTTGGAGTTCCTACTCCCCCCTAATATCCCCCAAGCCCCCTCACCCCCTTTCCTGGGGAGGTTTGAGAATAAACAAGATGAGCACAGACCAACCTTAGCTTTTTTTAGGACACTAAAAAAACCCAATCAGATTCTAAAAGAAACAGAACTTTATTATAAAGAAAAAAGGTAAAAGAAGCACCTCTAAAATTAGAATGGAAGATAATCTTACAGGGCAATCAGATTCAAAAACAGAGGATTTCCCTCTGGGCCAAACTTTAACGTTACAAAAAGAAAACCAGGAATACACCTTCCTCTCAGCACAGAGAAAATCACAAGCCAAAACAAAAATAAGATAATGCATTCCCTTGCTAGTACTTACTAATTCTAATGGAGCTGGATTGCTTGCTTCCTTGATCTGTGACTGGCAAGCACACAGAACAGACAGACCAACCCCTCCCACCCCCCCGATTTGAAAGTATCTTGTCCCCTTATTGGTCCTTTTGGTCAGGTGCCAGCCAGGTTACCTGAACTTCTTAACCCTTTACAGGTAAAAGGATTTTGTGCTCTGGCCAGGAGGGATTTTATAGTATTGTATACAGGAAGGTTGTTACCCTTCCCTTTATATTTATGACAACACCCATGCACAGGGCTCTGTTTGTGTTAAGCATTATGGGCCTGATAATCTCAAGTGACTATAATGAAAACAGAAGGTGTTGCAAAATCGAGCCGTTCAAAGTAAAAAGCATACTTTGTTATACCTCTCAAGGAGCTGTTGTGTGACATATGCCATGAGGCAAGGACAGACTAGCGGGATGCTTGATTGATCAAGATGCAGTTGTTTAATGCATTTATCTTTTATTTTTGGAGGTATTTGGTTAAATATTAGCTAAGGTAACATGAAACACATAGTCCCTATTGGACATTACATTACAAAATTGGGCAGAGTTTGTCTTTGGTCTCTGTTTGTAGAGCACACCGCACATTGTCACTTAGGGTAATAATGATAACAACAATAGTAATAAAAAAACTATCACACATTTTGGCATAACTATTCATCTTTTCACCTCTTCTGGAAAAGTCTAAGGCTTAGGATCCAGGTCAGGACTGAGGAGCACTTGCTGACCTGTGTTAGGAAGCTGGCAAAGTTTGAGTCAATGTTACTTGTCTCTTGCTTTCAAGAGTGCCAATAGCCACAGAAAAAAACAGTTAAAAACAGTAAATGCTCCTCTACTTGTGAAACATTAGTCTTGATTCACCGTAGCTAAAAAGTACCATATGTGGTCACAAAAGATTAAAGGAAAGAAAAATGAACCCATCTTTTAGATCCTCACTTAAATACTGGTAAATTTTGCACCTTATTTTGACACTTATTAGGCTTCAGTACAAACTTGTATAGTTAGTCAAAATTAGAGTAATTTAATTAACTACTTATTATGGTTAAGATCCTGGAAAGGATCCAGCAACAGGACAATATATTGCTAAAAATAGCAATGTAGATGGGAGGCATGACTTGGGGAAGTAGAAAGTCATGGAGGGCATGTTCTTGGGTATCTCTTTACTCTTCTCACCAGCTACTCTGATATTTATACCCATGCTGGGGAAGTGGGGCTACTGAGTATATACTCTACATGCCACCATAAGTATGTAGCATAAACCTATCTAAACAGTTTCTGATCAATTTTAACATCCTTAGGTTTATCCATCCTTATAGCAGTCTTGCAAATGGTTCATTACATGAGCAACCTTATTTTAGTGCTTTCTTTTCCAGTATTCTTCATAGACCTTAAGATAAGATACTGGAAAGTATTTCTGTTTATCTTACATAAGCATTACTTACACACAAAAAGAAGGGAAAAAGTTGATTAGAATATATTTCATCAGCTATTGAGGTCAATGGTACTAGTCATGTAAAAGTTTGCAGGATCAGGCTCCTCATCTTAAGAATATGTTCTCTTTCAATTATGTTAAAATATCCTTTATGTTTTCAGTGGACATATTCTGTAGCTCTGTTATATAATGGCACCTTTCATTACATTAGTATATTGATTCAGACAGTGGCACATTAAAAACTTTAGAAAATAATTTGTATGCTGTAATAGTCTATAAGGAGTACTTGCAATTTTAGTGCTATCTCAAATCTAGATAACTGTGGCATTTTTATGGATCAGATATAAAAGAAAAGCAAAGTGTAAGATAATTGAAGCATTACATAGTGCCACTCTGTTTACTTAATACAGCAATTGTTGTGGCAAATGAATCAGGCATGAGGTTGAAATAAACATATTACAAAGGCTATAACAGATGGTGCTTTAATCCCTAATAAAATGTATATATATACAATTTTCATTTCAAGCCTGTGTAATTTAATGCTCATGTAAGATAAGATACTAGAAAACATTTCTCTTTGTCTGATGTCTAATGTAGAGTACAGGAAAATAAACCACTACTCATCAGAAATATACAGGTAACTCCCTGGCAAAGTTATTGTTCCATTTCATCTCAATACTAGGAGACAGTATTTGTTACTTTTATAGGTCTAGATCCAGGCACAGAGAAATCTTTTATGTGCAGCTCTCCTTCCTCCAGAGTGAAAGTAAGACTTAGCAGCCTCCTGTTCCCTCTTCTTTTAAACCTCACAGAGGCCCCTCTGCCATCCAAGGTCTGCACAGAGGTAGAAAATGAGATTAGACAACCAGGGGAGAAGTGAGTATGTTAGGGACACATCATCTCTGCTCCAGCTCTGTGGAGTTTACCTGGGTAAACAATAAAGCCCCATGCTATATTATCTTTTCTGCTGAGCCCCCATCTCCAGTGGAATTCAGCTGCAAAGGAGTGGGGGTTCTGCCAAAGGCCAGAGCTGGTGCAAAGGCACATGAATCAGGGTATCTGCCAGGTTTCGGTAGGGTGTTGCAGCATGTGTGTGTGTGTGGGGGGGATCTCTGTAAGGGTGTCCTCCTGGAGAGTTCATCCCCCACAGACCTGTGTATGGATTTTACCACAGAGAGAATGATTTGGGTGATAGTTTTATTTACCTAATTTGTTAAAGAATATTGCCAATACTTTGGCAATATTTATTGAATGTCAGATTTTTCAACTGTCCAAGGCTCTTACAATAATCTTGAATACATAAGGGAGCATCTCACCATCCTGTTTTCCCCCCAAATATTCACAATTTTAAGGGATGCTCCGTGTCAAATAATATAAGTGTGATTATGGTCAGAAAAGTGACTATGGCCTCTTGTTACATATTCAGAGTCACATCTGCTTATCTTTCTGATCAACATTTGGTGTTACTGCTTTTTACTCTTGGAGAGCCAATAAGGCTAAGGGATAATTTTCTGTTACAGCTAGATTCTGTTTTGGCATGTGCATAATCAAAAGACTTGCTGAATATTGTTAACTCTCTACTACTGCTGTTGCTGCATGATCCAGAAAGAGTACAGCTTGACTTCCAGAATCTAGGTTGAGTTTGCAGGGCTGAGAGTTAAAAATACCGAGCAGACTTGTCAACTCATTGAGAGACAATAAACATGGAACACTATGGTGCCATATTTGCAGAGTTCCTTAACAGAGACAAACTACAATCAAAAGGTGTTTTACCTATAGTGCTTGTGGGACAATTCATGACCAATTCCATAACACACGACAATTTTATAAGAAACAATAGCAAGATTGGAACATTCTCAACGTGAAATGAGTTTATAAGGTGTAGTGACAGTACCTCACAATGAAGTCTGAGTGAGCCCCCTGCATTATCTGCTTCTCTGAGCGTATGTGCTCCTGCTGTCTTGTGTCCACTATGTGACGTTTCTTCAGTATCTTCATTGCAAATGTTTTGGATTCTTCACTTTTCAACTGGACCTTAAATAAAAGTGGCAAATATATTAGTTAGAAGCAGTGCCCGTAACTCCCTAATGATCTGGACTCCCTATCAATCTGGAATTTTAGATGGGCACATTTTAGCTCCTTCCAAAAATATTAGATCTTCTGGAGAATAGAAAGTTTGTTTCATAGGGGGATATAAACATAATTAAACAAACTGAAATAAAAATGAACTTAATTCTTAGAGCACTAAAGATGTACTAAGAAAAAGAAAAAGATTTTTTTTCTTGTCTTCAGTATTCTGCAATCTCAGAGGGACTGACAAATTGACTTTCCTTCAGTTCCTCCACCACAAATATGCTGTCTCCTTCTCCTACCTTTTTAACAATTTCCAACCTCATGACTGCACACCAGAACACCCCTTCTTCAATGGAACAGCAGTCTCATACTCCTGGAATGCTTACTCTCCTCAACTGACCCATCCTCCCCGCACAGAGCAACTCTGAATTTCATGATCGATTTTTCCTGTTCCTAGCATGACACCCCAGTGCAACCTATCTCCCACTCCTGATTTCTAGGCCAAGAGAAGGATTTGGCAGAATGGGTAGATAGGTCACATTAAGAGGCCAGGCCAGGCCAGAGGAAGGACAGGAGGAGACTTTGTAGCAGCAATAATTTATTCCGGCATAAGTTATGATCCATTTCAGCTCCCAAGAGCTAGGAACCCTCCCTTCTTTCTAGCACAGTGTTCCTAGCTTCTCTCTTAGGAAATTAACTGCCCCTCCAGGGAATAACCATTTGGAAATTACCCAGTTTCTTATGCCTTAATAAAACACAAGTTTCAACTCACTGGATTTGTTCACTGTAAACCAGATTTCTAAACATGTGGCATATTGCTACACCCTGTCCACTGATACATTTGCTAGTACTGTATGCCATTGAATTGAAAAGCCACTTACAACAACTTTCTGTGTTGAGGGGAAAAACAGCCACACCAGCATTATATATTTCTTTCAGTTATACTCACAGCATAAAGGTGCTGGTTCTAATAAGTGTACAACTTTAATAAAAATATTTTCTATAACTATCACATTTCCACTGACTCTGACAAGGAACTGTAGTCCTTGAAAGATTTAAATGGATTAGCAAAGCTAGCTTTCCAATGGTGCTGCTCTGGCATGTCTTTACTTTTAACCTTGACTGTCAACTAATCTATTTTTCTTGTTAAGAAAACAGATTTCTGTAAAGTTTAAGCTTTTTTTTTTTTTGCTTAGCCTAAGCACAGGATTCACTTAAGATCCCTCACAAGTCAGAATATCTCCCTATGTGCAGTGGGCCAAATTCTGCATTGACTTACATCCTGTGAATTGACATCAGTGTCCATTTGCAGACAATGGAGTTGAACAGTGTTTAAGTCAACAGAGAATTTGGCCTGATATATTAATCTGCTTTCACAGACAAGAATTTACTGGTATGGCATCTGAGGGGCTTTCAAGAATGGAGAACTAACAGAAGAGATCTGTCCTGTCTCCTCCCTTCTCCACAAATTAGTAAAATTTCTTAGAGTTGGCTAAGTGTTATCTTATAGTCTAGCCACCCAAGACCACAAACAAACAAAAACCTCCCATGCTGAACAAATGGAATATAATTGCAAATTGGTAGACAAGCGGACATGCACTTAATAATCTTAGGATTATTGGGAGTGATTCACATGATCTTTTATGCAGTAGAAAAGGAAAATTGACCTCCAACCAGTTTCCTTGTAGCTATCACCAAATGACAGAATAAATTGATAATTCGCCCAACTAACCTACTACTTTGCTAAATTCCTCCTCTTGTTACAGTAAACCAGTCATATCACATCATGTTGTCACATTGTGAAGAGTGCACATAGCTAATTCAATTTTTTCCATATAACGCAGTGTATTATACAAATGCTATTTGGCAATTTTTACAAAAACGCAGAGACGAAGTCAGCTTTCCTTTTCAGGTTTCATTTTACAACCTCTCTATCAATGTACCCAGGATTTTGAAATGCAGGCCAGATCAGAACTCTAGTTTGTTTCTGAGGAAGGGACAATGCGGATGCAACATAGCCTAATTTAAAAAAAAATCATTTTTATTAAAAAAATGACAACCATATTTTCTTAAGAGAAAAGAAAAAAAAAATCTAGGTTGGTCTAAGAAAAGTCACCTTCACAAATTTTCCTAGCCTGTCTTTGAAAACTATAATCTTTAAATCCTTCCACTTTCCCATCAATCCTTGCTGAGTGGCTATGAAGACACTTCAAATGATTCAGTTCATGCCAACTGTGTAACAACAGAGTGGAAAGATCTGTAGATTGATTTGCTCAGAATCAGAGCTTTTACTGGAAATTAAACTGACATAACAGCTGTCCTCTCTAAACCCAGGGTAACACATATGGATATACTAAATTTAAACCAAGGGGTAGATCCTCAGCTGGTATAAATGTACACCAGATAGCACTACTTAACGAGCAACGCTTGCCCATGTGATTCAGCAACAATGTTTAATAAATGTCAATCCATTTTTACACATATAACATTTTTATCATAAACTCTTTGATTTTTTAATTCTACTTCAGAAGTTTTATCTATAATGTCCATTTTTCTGGCATGGTTGACTGCTTTAGGTAAATTGTGAAGACCAAGGGCATGCTCGGACTCTGGTTTGGACTTACAGCCAATCTGTTCAAGATTGTCCCATACTATAGTGTTATGTTTAGCACCTGTGAGTTCTGCAAGCGGGTCTGTCTCTACAGAAATGGTTATATTATAGTTCTTCACATTTGTCATAGACATATCACATTTGCTTGCTGCCTCATGGAAAAAGTCTACAGAATCTCATGACAAGTAGTTTGTATGACACAGTGTGAGACTGATGAATTCTAATAAGATTAAGTTTCAGAGTAACAGCCGTGTTAGTCTGTATTCACAAAAAGAAAAGGAGGACTTGTGGCACCTTAGAGACTAACCAATTTATTTGAGCATAAGCTTTCGTGAGCTACAGCTCACTTCATCGGATGCATACTGTGGAAAATACAGAAGATGTTTGTAGGTTTATCATTACAAAAAAGGTTTTGTAGTGATAAACACCCATTTTTTCATGATTTGTGTGTATAAAAACAAACGTCTTCTGTATTTTCCACAGTATGCATCTGATGAAGTGAGCTGTAGCTCACGAAAGCTTATGCTCAAATAAATTGGTTAGTCTCTAAGGGGCCACAAGTACTCCTTTTCTTTTTGCGAATACAGACTAACACGGCTGTTACTCTGAAACAATTGAGTCTGTTGGGTTAACACAGTTGGGAAACTGGGGGTCTGTAGCACAGAGATTCAATCTAAGAGAGGTAGGATTGCAGGGTTGTACCCAGAAAGGGGTAAAGGTAGTAAAACCTGTCCCCCCAAGAGTGCACTGAAGAGAGACTAAACATAGTTTTCTTTGTAACAGTGACATTGCAAAATCTAGTTTGCTCTGTCAGGTACCCAAATTTCTCAGTCTTCTATCAGAATTATGCATTCAATAAAGAGAAAACAGCTGCCAACATTAATAATTTCAAACAAAAGCCAGTGCACCATCCATGGTGGTACTGCGGGCATTACAAACAGGACTTGTTTTCTTTTGTCATTTATTTTTTATAGATAAATAGTTCAGAGAAAAACAACGAATATATAAACAATGGAATCAACAGAAAATCATTAGAAGATTGAACACAAAAGCTAAAGTACTAGCAACCAGTCTCAGCCTAATCTGTATCACAGAATTTTTTAAATTATATTTAGTGTTCCATTTTTTATATGTGAATTTTATTTATAGGGCATTACTACTGCCTACCTTTATTTTTAACGTTGACATATAATAAACATTTGTAATGATCTGAGTGATTTTCAGATCAATAACTTTTAAAATTTTATGATGACTGGTAATAACAATAAATCATACTTCCTCTTCCCTTTCTAGTAGGTCATTCTAAGAGCATGGATTTTTGCTAAGGGTTATGTCATTTATATCAAAGACCTTTTTTTTTTTAAATGACTGGCTTTAGTGATGCAAGTAACTTACTGAAGGTTCCAAGGAAGCTTCAAAATGAATAAATAGTGCAAAAGTAGTTACTTTTTGGACAGAAAAACACTCAGCAGTTTTCTTATTATCTAATAACAGTTCTACCCTCAGCTCCATACAGAACAGACAAAAAGCAACAACTAACCAATGCAAGGCATTGACCTACAGCCACAAGAAAATTCAGTCAAATTTTCCACTCACATTCCTAACTTATTTTAAATCACATAGGTATTGCAAGAGTTTGAGATCAGTGTGGGATTAATTTGTATTGTATCTTCTTGAGACACCAAACAAACCCAGGGAGTTTCAGACCCAGAGGCTTAAATTTGGATCTCCTTCCTTCCTATGGGTTTTGCCAGACCTTTTGGAAGTGAACTTAATGCTGATTTTACAGCCTGGAAATGGAAATCCTGCATTTGATTACAGGTAAAGTACAGGTGTTGCCACTGTAAACTTCCGCACCCTCTTCAGGGAGCCTCAAATCTCGTAAGTCTCCATGCCCAATCCATCTTTGGTGTTTCTGCTGAGATTGCCAAATAGTGCTAATTGTGCTGGTTGAGGTTCTGATGTAAACTCCTGGATTCAGCCCACCAACTCATTTCTGTTAATCCACTGAACAGTCATCATCTCGTTATGATTTTCAGTAACTATTGACCTTTCTTAAGCCCAATGATTTAGATGGGAAAAGATTCATCTTTCGTTAACAACCCTCTGAATGATATGGTCTCCTAATTAAGTCATACACTTAATAGGACTTTCATTTTTTTTAATTACAATTTTTAAAATGAAAAAAAAAAAAAAGCTTAAACTTTCCATATAATGATCATTATTGACCAAATGAGACAAGGGCAGCCAAGAACATTTGGCCACAGTTTTGACAAGAAAATGCCACACAAGGACACAGAAGCCAAAAATGTTTGTGTATCCCAACTCATCAAAAGGCTGACATGTTCAG